CTGTTTCTTTAACTTACATTGTAAAGGACATATTGCTTGAAACTGTCCCTTTAAACTGCATTATTTTCATGCGATTGGGAATTGTATGTTGCGATTAGCAGAAGTTATTGTTCTGTGATTGTAAGAATTTTTAAACTTGAGATTATAATAACTACACTGAAATTGCTTAGATCATTTATTGTTTATCTGATTATATAATTTATATAATTTATAAAAATTACATAATTGATTAAAAAAAAAGTTTGGATGCATTGGAGTTAAGTGCTTCTGATAGCTATACACTTGATGATTGTTGTCTTTATTAACTTGTTTACACCAGGAGTTCCTGCTAAGACATTGCAAAAAAGCATTGTTCATATTTAAATTAAATTATATGACACCGTCTTAAATTTATCACTGGAATGCTGGTTGTGTTTTTTTGGGTAATATTTTACAGAAACTGTTAAATTTTTGCCTTTGTGTTGGATGCTGTATCTTTAAAAGTAACATGTGATATTCATAGCTGCAAGTTATCATGACTTGGCAATTTTGACTTTAGTATTAAATTAGCACAGACAAAATTGCTTTCATAAGAACCCATATGCTGCTCAAGAAGAGTAAGACACCCATTTGGGAGCTGCTATATAAAAATGTGATGAGCATTGGATAAGTGCGGGGATATTATTTTGAGCCTGTGATTCTTGCACTGTGAATGGTAGTATCAGTTTCTGTATATTGTCTATTTTTATTGTATGTAGTTCCCGGCATGAATTCTGCATGAGATAGAACTGCAACCTTGAAGAAGATACTTGAAACGTGCTTAAAGTCCTGGATGCATGTTGTCACACTGGAACATTATTCTGCGCCACTGTACCCATTACATACTGTCCTTAAGTCGCATGTCGCACTGGAATATATTTCTGCTCCACTGTACCATTACATACTGTCTTTAAAGAGTTTTTAGTTTTTGTTGTATAGCATGTATTATTGTATCAAAGTTATTACGGAACCAAAGAATCTATTAATATATGAATTCACTGATCATGTAAATGAATACAAAGACACAGCTATACCATTCAAATTGTTTTATTGAAATCTCCAGTGTTCTTAATTTTTTTGCTTTCCACAGGGAGCAGAAAGGAGTTTAAATAGCTCCCAGCCATGTAAATCACTGTTTTCTGCTCTCTGCAGAAGCAGTGGTTTAAATGGCTCAGAGCTGAACCCAAGAAAACCTTTAAACAGCTGACCCACCTGGAGGTGAGCAGTTTGCTCTGCACAGCTTAGCTGTTTAAAGGGGCTTTCTTGGGTAGTGAGCCCCGGGGCTGGCTGCCAAAGACAGCCCGTTTAAACATTTGAGGCACCCAGAACTGTGCAGTTTGCTATGTGCCTCTCAGCTATTTAAAGGGGATTTCTTGGACAGTGAGCTCTGGGGCTGGCTGTCAAAGAAAGCCTCTTTAAACAGCTGAACAGCACAGAGCTGCTTTACCTTTAAAGGGACTGAACCAGAAACCTTAAAACAGCTGAGCAGCAGGGAGCCCCAGCTGCTCAGCTGTTTTGCAGCTTTCTGCTCTGGCCAGGAAGTGTCATGAACCCCATGAACTGCCTTAAAAGTTCATGGAAGTCAGTGATGGTAGACCCGTCACGGACTTTGATTCCCGGACCACAAAAAGGGCAGAATTTGTTGTGGTTCGGTTTGCGGACATCCCTACTCCTACCAAAGGTCTTTTTCATTAATTAACAAAGCACAACCTGCAGGCCCCATGAAGGTAGGGTATGAAAAGTTTTAACATTTGAAATGTATAATTTTTGCCACCTTGGGAACCCTGAGTTGTGGAAAGGTAGCATTAAAATATTATAAAAATATTTTTAAAATAGCAAGGCCTTTTAGACAGTGTTTTCACTATGGGTTAGATGAAAAAAGATTGGCCTTCCAGGTGTGATCTTGCAGTTGAAAAGGTTGCTAATGCACTCTCAGGGAAGAATAACTCATCTCTTTAGACTGGAGATGTAACAGGTATTCAGGGATCGAGGAGATAGAACAGGTGAGGGAGTCAAATCCCGAAGCACAGATGAATAGGTAAAGCCATTGCCATTTCCTGTTAAAGGAATGCCAGTAAAAGCCTTTTGTTCTTTTTCTTTTTTGCATTGCATAGTATCTTCGTTATGGCACCTAAGGGGGGATACTCAGAACTAAGGTATTTTTGCTGACCACCTTGCTGATGAGTGGAATGGGTAGAAAGATATAAAACAGCTGGTTCATGCAACAGACTGGAAAAGCATCACCCACAGAGTGACTTCCTGTTCCTGTGCTGCTGCAGTAATCGCTGACTTCTTGTTGGATGAGGGAAATAAGTTGATATCTGGCATGCCCATCTATGGAAAAGTGGAGATAAGAGACCTGCAGATAGGCATGAGTCTCTATCCCTCTGTTACTGAAGGAATCTGCAAGGATATTGTCTTTGTCAGTAAAACATATTACTCCATACATGATAACAGATGCATCTCTTCTTAGAAGGTGCAGGTGAGGCAGGATAGAATCATTAAGGCTGTGCCATTTTGCTTGCTGATAGACTATTTGGCAGTCACTTGTACTACTTTGCCCCGCAGGTTTGGGAGAAAAGCACAGAGTGATCTGTTAACTGCCAAGAGCTCCAAGTACTTCATGTGGAGCATCCTCTTGCAGCCATTGATGGCATAGTGGTCACAGCCTGCACCTCATCTCCACCTGGAGCCATCTGTTGTTAAAGACATCTTGGGGGGGGGGGGGGGCGTAAGAGGCTCTGTTGAAGACAACAAAGGAAATCTGCTATGTTAGACTCCTCCGAACAGGTGTTGAAAGGAGAAGTCCTGTAAAGTCTTACAGTGGGCTGAGGATGCAATTCCGTCAAGCTTGAAGTAACCTCATGTGATGTTTCGCATGTTGTACAACCATGATGGATGCAGTCATGAAGCCTAGGAGCCTCTAGATACCAAAAGGTAACTGGAAAGAGCATTGCATAAATATAGTTGCAAGCTGGACCAGTGCATGGGCTCTGTACAGTGTCAACTAGGCCTCTAGCTGCCATGGAGTGAGGGGGTGCCTTTGGAATTTTAAGTTTCTTTTCTCTGTGCCTTCAGTGTTTCCTTATCTTGGCCTTGGTGTCTAGCACCAGGTTTCTCTTGGGAAAATAGACACGTTAGCTTTGGCAGGCTTTAACCTATTCCGTGATTGGCTCCAGGCAGGGGTCATTTCGTAGAAAAAGAGCTAGGGGACTCATTAGCATAACTCATTAGCATATGCCACACCCCCTGACATCACCGGAAGTGTGTCCTCCCCACAGCCGGCGGCGGGCACCAGCAGGGAGCTCCAGGCCCCGCCCTCCCGCACCTCACCCGGGGGGATGGCGTCCCCCCGCGTCCCCCCCAAATGACCCCTGGGCCTCCAGGCCATCAGGGGACCCTCTTGAATTATGCATATCTGCTTGCTTCCCGCACTTATTGCCAGTTCTAACACAAGAGGTGTAAAGACCATCTGCATACGTCAATGTTTCAATAAACTTTACTTCTTTGCATGAAAGTTGTTGAGAACTGATTGCTGCAGGAGTCTGACATCCAGTGATGGGATTAACATCACAGCCAAACCAGCCCAGATGAATGACAGGGTACTGGTATGACTTCTTCCCCATTAATGCACAGACTCAGAGTAGCTAGCAGCTGCAGAGGCTACAAGCAGAAGCAAGACCAAGATGGTTCTTTAATCAAGAACATTAAAAAGGAGAATTGACAGTAATGTGTCAAAACATTCCAAGAAATACAATTTCATTAAACTTTCAGGTCACTACAATTCTTTGTCAATGTTATTTTATTGACGTTTTTGAAATGCAGCATTTTTACTATAAACATTAATTAATAATATAAAAAGCAGTACTCACTACAAAATCCCACATTAAATAAAATGCCCTCAGATTCTTAAAAGAAAAAAGCAGCAGAGAAAAATTTGACTTTATAAATTTATATTTGCAATTATACCTGCGAATTTAAAGAAATAAGAACATTATTTCCTTAAACATAATGTTTTGCACTGAAATTTCTATTCAACTGGCAGTTTATAAACACAGTAAACAATGATACAACTGCAAGAATGGATGGGTGGACTTTGTGTTTCAGATAAAATTTATAATAAATAATGAAGACATTCACAGCTATATACGCAGTCATACTGCCATTTCATGATAGAACTCTTCATCTTTGGTGATCAGCATTCCTGGAAGTAGAGACAACCAGAGTTCCCTCTAAGCTGAGTTAGTGTGGGCTAGCTCACAGTTTTTTAGCCTTTTCAGCTCACACATTTTTGTCTTAGCTCAGGAAGGATGGCTCCAGAACAAACAAATTTATGCAGTAGCCAAATCGCTTGCTCACAACTTTAATGCCAGTAGGACACAAAGTAGAATTTTTGCTCACAAGATTCCACAGCTTAGAGGGAGCATTGGATACGCTTAGGAGGAAATGGACACAACATTGCCACAAGCAGGACAGCCATCTCCATGATCTACAGAAAACCCACTCAGCTGAGGAATGGGGCCCTTGGCGGAGCCACAGGGCTGATAAAGAAGACAGCCACAGCCCTCCTGGGAGGAAGGTTCAATGCCACCTCCCCCAATTTCACTTTAAATTCCACTAATATTTTAAGAAATGGTGATATTTTAAACACATCCCCATTAGAACCAGAGTTATCAATACCTATTATAGAACTGATACACTCAGCTCTCTGTTCTCAGGAGTATAACCACATGTTAAAGACGATATTCCTGTACTTCCTTCAGCTGCACATTCAGAAATCCACTGTTACCTTTAGCTGCATTTTAAATACTCCTAAGCACAAGATGATCTTGGTTTTATTTTTAAGCCACCTCAAGCAGGACTCTTGGGAGGTGGCACTGTCTAAATAAATCAATCACAGTGAAAACACAGAAGAGAACCCTGTGTCAAAATGTTTCAAAGCACTATATAGTTTTAGAGTGTTTATGCAAACAGTTAATTACCTGAGGTGGGTGACTTGCAACGATCTTCTTGTACTGCAGTGCCTTCATTAATGTCGCAAAGACCAATTGTAAAATATGGAATCACTTTAGCTCTCTCTTTTTTTTTTTTTAAAGCTCAATGGCTGTTAATAATGTGTATCATTAGACACTAAAATATATCTTTCACTGGGTTTTTTTTGGATGAGAGCAGATTTAATAAACAATGAAAATTTTGCTTTGGTTTTAAACATAGTAGGATGATTAAAATTCCAAAATTAGGAAAATGCAGGAATTGTAAAGGTTTAGAGACAGTGAAAAGGGAGATCATACAGTTATGTATGATTTAAGTTTCCACTATAGGTTTTGGAGTGATGGTAAATGTACACATGTGATTTTTAAAATTATACTTCTGTGACCCAGATCATTTAAAATGAAACATATTACAAAGTTAGGTGCAAATATGAGTATCAGTATTTATGAGATAACTAAATATTATAACTTAAAGAACGAATGATCTATTACAAAAATGATTGGACTGCAAACCCCATCCCCGACATATTTTTTTTTAAAAAAGCCAAAACTATAGGGTTGGATCTATTGGTCATTTTCCAACAACAGATGGGGCAGTGGTTTTTGTTGACTCCGCACTCCCACTGTAGACCCAAATTTTCCCTTCATGCTGTTGTTGAGGGTCTTGTTCCCCATGGAGCAGCATTTTAGGGAGCTTAGTGGGCTGCAACGAAAGGAGTGGAGGCAGGAAATTTCTGTTCTGCTGACAGATATACCATCTGTTTGAGGAATATGAAATCTGAATCCAACTTGTAATAGTAAGAATGAAAACATGTATTTATGGTTGAAGGCTACATTTCTGCCCATCAGGGCACTCACAATGTCTTTAAAGAAACAGACCACACATATTGGTAGCTGACAGCTACTACCAGCAACATAAAATATAAATCATTAGTACTGTAGCAGTGTTTTATCAGTCATAAAAGGAACCACAGTTTCTGGCTTAAGGGCAGATCCAGAATTTAAAAAATGTTGGATTTCCAGCGATACAAAGTACAGGCCAAGCTTGTCTTCTATCTTGAGCACTATCATGATGGCACCAACCAGACCTTCTTTCTTTCTATTGCCACAATGGCCCACATCTAATAGCACAAAACAGTGCATTTGAGAAAAGAAGACAAACTGCCAGTTACAGTTGGGTTTGTTTGTTTTCTTTGAGGGTTGAAGTTGGTATGCTTGAGGAAGTAACCCATGGTTTACACTAGGGGTGTGAGGTGAGAAAAAAAAATCATTATGACTTGAGATCTCAGGCTTCAGGGAAGAGGGGAGATTTTTACCATGACTGCTCATTTTTGGGTAGGATATTACTGGTTCGGGATTCAAATCTATGTAGTTCCAGAGTTCATGACCATTATTTTCAATGGGAAATGTATATGAGGGTCTGGGGCAGCTGTTTATAAAGATAATGGCATCAGATTTACACAGAATATACCCCTTCCTTTAATCTTCAGACCCCTGCTCATTTTTCAAGTGAACGGGACCAAGGGGGACAATATTACGGACCCCCAAAGTAGATGCCTCTCAGTACAGACTCAGTTCTCTCCAGTGATTCCTACAACAGCAGTCAAGCAGCAGCCCAGCAGGAGAACTCCAGCTGTCCATGGCATTAATAAACCAAAAACCCTGTCCCTATTTTCCTGCTCTTACAGTGACTAGCAGTAAAAATTTCTTACCTTTCCACGAAAAACTCTGCATTTGTTGTTGTGGCCTGTTTCTTTCCTTTCACAAAGTAAAAGTTCCTTCCTTTGCATACCCTCCTTCCCATCCCTTTCTGTCAGTCTGACATTATGGGAATGTACTAAAACAAATGTCAGGAATACCTACTGGGAGCAATGGGAAAGGTCTGAAGGCCCACTGAATATAATGGGAGCAAGGAATGCCAGCCAACTTGCATAGGCTCCATTGAAATATGTTACAGCGCACAAAAATTGCAATAAAAATGCAGAACAGATTATGAGAGACTTGTTCTGGCCCTGGAATGACACCCTCAGGGACTAGAACCAGTGCTCTGGGGGCTGTCATTCCAGTCCCAGAGCAGTTTATATGGTCCCAGGGACTGTCACTCCAGTCTCTGAGCATAGATTCCAGTCCCAGGGGCTATCATTCTACTCTGGGGGCTGTCATTCCAGTCCCAGAGCATTTTATCTGGGCTCAGGGACCACCATTTCAATCTGGAGGCTGTTGTTAATTTTCATTGCAACTTTTGTGTGCTGTAATGTATTTCAATGGAGCCTATGCAAGTCAATTGACATTCCTGGCTCCCATTATATTCAATGAGCCTTCAGGCATTTCCCATTGTTCCCAATGGGTATTTCTGTGATTCCTGCCATTATGCCCCATGAGGGTCTTTTCAGGGAGTCTGGAGTGGCTGTTTTTCAACCAAATGACACCAAAACTGCAGAGGAGTGAGTGCTGCCTGTCTCCTAAGGAATCAAGCTGCAAGTGAACTGAATCCAGGGGACAAATTTTATGGGCCCCTGAAAAAGCTGCCCCAGCTCTCTATTTACCTAACCAAAGAGGAACAAAAAGGCTCTTATCCCACAAAGGAGGGAGGGACAGAGAACTATGCTCTCTATGGCTTGTCTCCAAAGGTTATTGGCTGGAAGTGCTCTGTGCTTCTCCCTTGCAAGGGAGAAATGCCACTGCTCAAGAAATCAGTAGAATCAAGGAAAAAACACAAGAACATGCTGTAGTAGGCTAACAGCACCTGATTGTGAAAACAACATGGATTTCGTTTCACTAAGAATCCCAGATACCTAATACTATTCCAGAAAATCACATTAATAACCTGAAACAGCCATTTCTATGCATATCTTTGGCTCAGGTATTTCATTATGCACACCCCTAGTTTGTTGGAAAAGGGCAATGTCGGGTGTACAAAGAAGAGAAGAAGACTGAAGACAATTAGACAACAGGAGAGAGAAGATGATGGTCTCACTATGCTGAGTGTCATTCCTTGTCTGTCTCCAGATTGCTACTCTTGTGGCAATTTCCTCCTCTCAGAAGTTCTGCATTCAGTCTCCCCCCCACCCCCAGATAGAGATGTAGTTAGGAACCTAGCTATCTCTCCTCTTCCCTATCAAGCATGATAGTTCCTAAAGAAACCTTTATCTACTCTTTAATCACTGCTGTGTTAATTACTTTGCCAACATAGCTTATACTGACTGGCCTGTCTCCTACCACTTTACTCAGCAAAACTAGAAATCCTCTGAAAGCCTTATTAACCTTTTTCCATCTTGGGGAAGAACTTCTTAAAGTTGGTGGAAGGCTCCTGAGGACTGAGGAAGACTTCAAACTTTGTTGAGTAGACTGGTAGGATACAGGCCATTATTTTGTCCGGCATTTGTGTCTAGTCAAACAGATTTTGCAGAGCTTTGATGCACCACAAAAATCTGCAAAGCCTGTCAAAGAAGCTAATAGTGGGGAGGTCCCACCATGGGCAACAATGTCTCATGTCTCTATTGCCATCTCCAACTTTCGTTAAAAAAAGTCTGTCTCCAACCTGAAAGCAGGAGGAGGAGCAGGCAAAGCAGCAACAGGAAGGGCAGCATGGAAACTCAAAGATCAGCCAGCAAATCCTGGAGCAGTGCAAAAACTGCAAAACAAGAGCAAGCAAACCAAGAGCTTTGGGCAGAAGATGTTGGCTTAGTGAGTTGCGACAGTGACTGACATGACACTGTATGTGGAAAAAGGGGCTCTACAATTGCCTGCTTCAATTCTAATGCTGTGTTCTTTCCTTTGGGGCACACAGAGCTGAGCACTGTTCATTTGCAGTAACTGTAAGCACTGCTCAATACTCCATACAATTTTTGCTCATCATCTGATCTTCTTCCAAAGAAGTTTGGCACTCTTATCTTATTTCCTTTGGCAACCCCTAGATTTCAGAGGGATAGCCATATTAGTATACTTCGGAAAATACAAAAAGGAGTCTTGTGGCATTTCAAAGTCTGTTAGATTTCCCTGTGGCATATGATTTATTTCATCAGTCTTTAAGGAGCCACGGAGACTGCTGTTTATTCTTCCTCCCCTCCTGAAGTGAGTGACTGAGGCAGTTTGCCTTTAGAGAGCTGTCTACCTCCTCTCAGCAGCTATGTGGTACTGTACACAGTTTCTGAAGGGAGAAGGGAACAGCCAGTTTTTAAGCCTTGTAGCCTTCCCCTGAACTAAGCTTTGGAAAGAAGGAGCATCAAGAAAGTGGGGGGGGGGGGAGACACTGCACTGGGACACCTTCTCCCCCACTGTCCTCTCACCCTGCCTGCCTGGCACATGCAGTAGTGGCTCTTTCTCATGTCCAGCTTAGGTGGCAGGAGCAGCTGAAGGGGATGCTCCATTATGCTGTCTCTGCATGCACAAAGTTCCTCTCTTTTGGTGGGGATTTAAGCCCCCCCCTTTTACACAGGGGCAAGGTTCAACATTTTATATAGGATATACTATATGACAAATGTCACGTAAGCACAGAATTTAATACTGCATAAAAATTAGTTTCCAAAAAGGCTAAGTTTTTTTGTTTTTTAAAGGCAGTTTCAGCCGAAATAGCTACAAAGATTGGCTTGAGAAAGGTACAGAAATGCCTGATAAAAACTGAGAATGCACACGAAGAGCAAAATTTCCAGTGCACTGCATAGCTCATGAGAAGAAACAAAAGCAGCAAAATAAACCATGCTAAAAAGCAGCTAGGTTTGTTGTCCACTCTTAGAGAAAACTAATGAAAAACATGGGCAAAAGATTTAACTGCTCTTTAGGTATCATTAGCAGGAGACACTTCATTAGACTGGAAAGTATTTTGTGCTAGCAGTGTATATGCTGCAGGCTACTTCGTCAGTTTTGCACAGTTTTAAGGACACATTAATGTCCTTGTTTGGTTCAGAAATAATCCAGACCAACTGATTTATTTGCTGGATATCAAGAAATAATCTAACAGGATAAGAGGTGTAACTTCTGCTAGGTCTACCACACTGATGTACATTGGGAAGCAAAAGCATTTGTTACATTAACATTTGGATGTCAGAAGCGGTAACCACAAAAGTAATAAATCTGGCACTTCTGACATCAGATTACTAGAGCTAGGTCATGTGCTTAGTATCAAACCACTGTTGGTACCCAACAACTCAACTGTTCTTGTTATGGCAGAGGTAAACACACTAATCCAACCAGTGCTGGAAGACTAACAGTGCAATCCTAGGACCAATTTCCTGGCAGAAAGGCCCAATGAATAAATTTCATTGGGGGGGGGAGGAGGAGGAGAAGAAGAAGATTGGATTTATACCCCGCCCTTCACTTGGAGTCTCAGAGTGGCTTACAAACTCCTTTCCCTTCCCCTCTCCACAACAGACACCCTGTGAGGTGGGTGGGGCTGAGAGAACTCTGACACAAACTGCTCTTTCAGGAACAGCTGTGCCAGAGCTTGTGACTGACCCAAGGTCACATCAGCAGGTACAAGTGGAGGAGTGGGGACTCAAACACGGTTCTCCCAGATTAGAGCCTGCACACTTAACCACTACACCAAACTGGCGCTATTAGACAGCAACCCTAAGTGAGTTTACTTAGACGCCTACTCAGGTTCATTCAATGGGGATTTCTTCCAGAAAAAGTGTTCTTAGGATTGCACTTTAAATTGCAGCTATGATCCAGCTGTTAAGCAGCTATAAGAAACTTCTGCAGAAGAATCCAACATACCAGATGGGGGGGTTAAAGCAAGACACCTCTGCTATCTAAAAGATATATCAAAGGTTTCTTCAGTTATGGCCCTGCACTTGTCATAGCCTAAGGGCTGCACTAAGTGCGAGGGAAAATCTATTAAAATGTTTGAACTAATCAGACTGTGAGTGTTAAGTCATGTGGTTCTATAATATTACATGCCATTATGTTTCCAAACCTCTTTGGAAAGCCTGGATACAAATTTGTGATGGATCAAAAAAACCCAAACCGGATGATAACCAGCAACCAAAAATTTACTCACTCTTCTACAAGTGTACACAGTCCATAAATGGGATTAAGAAAGCAGGTAGCAAAGAGGCTTGTATTTTGTTAATTATCAATGTTACTTTCCACTTTTATTTGTAAAATAGATGAAAGTTTCTACTGTATTCAGTGTCTTATACTAATGGCATTTTATATAAAAGTACTTAACTAGACAAAAAACATAATCATTCTCTACCACTATCAGTGACAAACTTACAATAAAAGGCTAATGTAAAACAAATTTCAGAATGAATGAATAAACTAAAATTGATGTAGAAACATTAGCTGTTATGAGATGACTTACTTATATAAGAGGTGCGAAGTTTTTTCACAGACTCTGAATATAAGTTAGAAAAGCCACACATACAAGAAGCCACAGCCAGCATGCCTCAATGAAGCAATGAGAAAGGAAAGACAAAGACACCAAGTTTGGACACAAAAACCTGCTGCACAATTTGAACACCATGGCTGCATTCACTTATCACCAAGAAATTTCATACTTTATTCATGATGAGAACTAATCAAACTCCCTCTTATACCTGGCACAGAAACGGAATACTTTCTGATTTGGAAAAGTCTACAAGTTATTACAACATCCAAAATTGGCACTGGAAAAGACTCACCCAGTGACACAGGAATGAACCAGAACTGTCAGCATCTTCTGCTAATAGACTGCAGGATCCCACCCATTAACCTGACATTTTTAGGGGAACTATTTATAATACTGAAGAACAGAACATGTAAAAGCCAAAGCTTCCATATCTTATATAGTCATAAATTCGGTTTTACAGCCACAAAATAGATAATACTGGGAATATCACAACTGGTCTTGAAGTGTGCCAGGCATCTGTTTTGCAACAGTATATTTTGCAATATATTATCCAGCCATCCTTTTCACTCACACTCACCTAGCTTTCCTCTTTATTATAGCCCCATTCCATACGGCTTTTATCCAAATAAGTCTCATGACACCCAAAATAGCCTTTGTATTACTTAAAGGGATCTTTCCTTGCTTTTTCACCAGTAGAGAAGCTGACTAGATGTGTACAACTCCACCTCCCAAGTTACCTCTGATATTCTACCATGAACCTTCAACAAGACATGTTTGATCTTGACTTCCGGTGGATGGCGGCACGCTGAGCAGTCGCATCTCCCTGACCTCCCGGGGATGCGAGCTGCGCACGAGCGGGAAGGAGGGGGTACGCAGGCTCGTTGCCCCCCAAGAGGCCCGGCGAAGGGCTTCTAGCCATGGGGCTTTTGAGAGCTTGCATCTTCGCCAGCGCGATTCTGGGGAATTGAGGCGCCTCTTTGCCCCGATGGTCCCTCCTGCGAGTGTCCGTATGGAACCTAGTGACGCTGACAATTACAAGCGCTGGGGATCGAGCAGTCGAATTAGAGACTAAGTGAGGTCGGAAGACCAATATGAACATGAGTCAGAATAAAGCGTCTTTGATAATTTAAAAAGAAAGCTCCCCATCCCACGAACCAAGAAGTGAAACGAGCGGGGGTAGGCGCCCCTCCCATGCGCATGAACTTTTAAGCCAAAAAATGGGGGGAGCGGAAGTGAAAGCGTTGAAATCTGTTGAGAAAAACTTACCAAGGTGTGTATAAGCATTTGAGCGCACATTCAGAGACTTTAGAAACTGCGGCAAAAGTAAACAATCGATAAAAGATGGCGGGGAAGAGGACGGAGAAGGAGAAACTTTTAAAAGCGAAAGGGGTGAGCCCAAAACCGGAAGGAACCACCGAGCTGGCTAAAATGTTGGCAGAATCTCTGCGCTCCCTGCTGGACCAGATGACTAACGTCAAGGAACAGTTATCTACATTGACCAAATGTATCACCACCCAGCAAGCACAAGTGAATGAGACCCTTAAAATTACAGAGCAAACTGCTGAGAAGGTGAAAGAAGTTGACGCCACTACTCAAAAAGTGAAAAAAGGTACAAAAACTGGAAAAGAAGCAAGTCTCCACAGAAGAACAACTTTTACAGCTGCAAATGGAGAAGGCAAACTTGGTTAAATAGTAATGAGATTCTCAAAGAGACATGTGAGGGATACTATTTTGAGAGCGGCGACAGGGACAACCTTGAAAATCGGGGACAGCACCATCAGGATCCTTAAAGACATCCCATTTGAAATAAGACAAAGGAGAAGGAAATACAAAGATTTAATCCTTTTTCTTCAAACAAACGCAATCAGCTATCGGTGGCTGTATCCAGAGGGTGTAACCTTCAAACTTCAAGATGAAAAGGAAAAGACTGACTCTGTTTCCAAAGTACGGGACTTTTTGAAAATCCAGATGGGTGAGCAAGAGAAAGGCGATAAAGAGGACAGTAAGTCCAGTGGCGAGCTGGAGTCGGGGTCTTCTGGAGAGGACTCTCTGTCAGAGAAGGGAGTAGCGGCTCCTAAAAGTCCTTATAAACTGTGAAGAAGACAGGATAAGAAGAAATGAAAGCTGAAGGACTCTGTATTGTGCCTTTGAAAAGGGTTGATTGTAATGAGATGCTTTGGGGGTTTTCTTTTCAACAGTTAATTTAAGATTCAAAAGTTGTATTAGCAGACCTGACTAAGTTCAAAAAATTGTTAGCGAGTTTAGAACTGACTTTGTACTTAAGTGATTTTGAGGATCTCCTCTCTCGGGATTTTAGATAGTATTGGGTTTTCTTTTCTTTATCCCTAATTGTAGTTCCCTTCCCTCATTTTCGTTGTAGATTTGTAGTCTTTAGAAAAATGTAATAAAAAAATCCCCTTCGGGAGGCCAAAAAAGAAGAAGACATGTTTGATTTTGCTTTAGGTTGGCCAAGGAAAGCACTGATGGTGTAACTGATCTCATTTTTGTCTCTGATCATCCCAGCACAAAGACATTTTACACATTGTGCATCAGCCTGGTTGCACAGGTGTTTCTCCAATGATTGTCATTGTGTGTATGATATCTCCAAAGAGCTGGCATCACAGCAAGCTGTGACCCTGGTGCACATCTCCCTATTTGCATTTATTTACTATAACAAACACCTGTGGCACACTTGCATAACAAGAGCTGTTGCATAAAACTGCCTGTTTATAAGCACTTCCTCCATTCAAAATGTTGAGCTTTAGGTTTTTTTTTTTTTTTAGAGACGCCAATGTTGGATCAGGCCAAAGGCCCATCCAGTCCAACACTCTGTGTCACACAGTGGCAGTTCCCACTCACCCTTCCTTTCCCCAAATACTGCTTAATTTGTATACGTGCAACTTGCTTGGCAGTACATGCCCCAATACACTAAACGCATTATGCTGAAAAGTGTGTCCAAAAAAGGTAAGAGAAAGCAAAGTAGTTAGTTTAAGAAATGATGTCTCAATAGAGAAAGGTTACATGGGTGAAGTACCATAAATTTAGCATCCAGGAAAGTAAAAAGAAAATCTCAAATGATGTAATAGCATGACATTTCAATTCAGACCAATCACGGAGAGCCAACGATGCAGTACAAGTTTTTAATGGGAAAACCAAACGTAGAATGCTAAGCAGGAACAAAGGGTGATGGACCACAGAAGATAGTGAAGGGCTGCACCAGAATAGCAGTCGGCATGCATGCTTATAAACAAGAAAGCTAACCTACCATAATCAGACAAGAGAGGCCGTCTACAAAAAGAAAATCAAGAAACTACAGAATGACAATGCTGAACATATACTGCCTTTGTTTTCAAAGAGAAGGCGAGGTGTTTATAATCCTCACAAATTTGCCACTTATCTGATTGTAAAGCAGTACAAATTCTACTGGTGAACTGTACAGTGCTGGAATCTTACCTCCTGATGGTTGTCTGCTTTTACGTGGAGATCGAGGTTCCCTCCTATACGGATCATTAGAACCATACAATTCAATGGTGCCAAGGTTTAACAGCGTGGTCTTTTGTAGGTAATCAACCATTGCAATACCATTACAGTTGCCAAAAACTACTCTGAAAGAACATTTGTTGGGAAGAATATAATTCCAGTGAAGGTTGCTAGCCCAAATATATTCTTATAGTAATAACTGACCTCCACAGAACTTTTAAAAATAGTTATCTAATAAGTCTATAACATACCCATATAAGAATACAAACTGAACTCACACACACATTCTGAAATGTAGGTTTACATTAAAAAAACAACACAATTTGCTTTAATAATGGCTGCTGAGAACATACAACATAACTCAATTTGATGCTGAGAACCTCTGACTCCACCAGACTAACATTAAAGCTTTGTAGCTGTGCAGCTGCAACAGCTGGCCTCCTGAGTTATGCTTGCCAGTGTTTGTAGTGCTAAAATGGGGTACATGATCTGGTAGCCTGAAATCCTGGAAAACTGCTGCAAGACAGAGTAAACAATACTGACCTTCGTAAATCAATGGTCTGACTCAGTATAAAACACCTTCCTGTGCTCATGAGTACCCGTCTGGGTCTACATGATAGGGTCTTGGGACAACCTTCTGTCTCCACTATCTGACTGGCAGAGCCATCTCCACTCCCCACTCCCATCTTCTCCAGCTCAGCCTGGCTTAAATCACAACTGTTCCTTTCCTTTCACAATTATTCTTACTGCTGTAACCCTTTGTCTTACGTTTTTTAACCTGAGACACGGGGCCTAGCATATTGTTCAGCTTTCTGTTCTAGGGCTGCTTCAATCAAGTCTTTATGTCCACCACACTGTCATCATCTATTGCATCTCCCATTTCTTTCACCTTTAGCAACTGACTACTTGTTTCCTTGTCTGCGCAGCTCACACATGCTCTCTTCTCCACACTCTGTGAATACCTGAAGTCACATAATTTGTGCTTTGGAAAATACATGTCTTACAGTGCAAGCCTAAGCAGAGTTGCACCCTTCAGAGTTGACCAACTTCCCATCTAATATATACAGGTATTATTGTGACTGAATAAAGAAAGGCTAAAATGCATAATTTAAGAACATTTTGACCAACTGTGTGCAAGGTCTTTACAGTAGCTATTTACTATACTGGGTACAAATTCAAATACTATAGATTCAGTAGTTTAATAATACTAGTATACAACATGTGCTAATAGGACAACAGGTTTTAGAAAGATACAATGCAATACAGAATATACTTACAAGCCATAGGCAGAGTTGATTGCAAGGCTAGTTATTTGCTGAGGAGGTTCTCCACTCACCCACACTAACTGGATAACCAGTTCAACCTGATAGCCTGCAGACTCTTTCAAAGAAGAGTTTTTAACTCTGAAACATAAATGAAATATATGCCTATTACTGTTTATATGTGCAATATTACTGTTTTGCCCCTGTATTCATCCTGGTGAAACTTAATAAGATTTTATTAAGCTGACAAAGAGGTTACATTTTATATGTGTTAACAGAACTTAGTGCAGCCGTGAGCTTTACATGTTTACTTCAGAAGAGAGCTGATGAGCCTTTTGAGGACTAAACAGACAGACATGAAATCTGACTGTTAAAGGGTAAATTATACATGCATACAGCTTCAATTCCGATGGCATGGCACAGGACGAAGGGATTTAACCCTTTAATTCCCACCCAATTTCATTAATCAAAAGCAGGCTCTTCACAGTAATAGAAGTTTTAAAGAAAAAAGGTGTGTCCTTTTAAAACCCATTCCCTTTAAAATTGCTAATAGTTGGGTAAGCACAGGTCTGAGTAGTGAAACCAAGCAAGAGTTGAAAGGCTAAAGCCCCTCAGTAACATTCTGTTGGTTCTTTTATACCAACCCTGCTTAGTAGGCAAATATATTATCACCAAATTACTGACATTTTATAGAGTTGTAAAGCATCTAATATCTACAGATTGCAGAAAATCACTTGGATAGACTCTATGCAATTTCTTTTAATTTTGTAATAATGCAAACCTGTTATTGATATTTGCTTCATTATATGTACCACGTGCCTTTTAAATAGTAAAAAAGGTAAAGCATCTAGTGAACCCATGGCCAAACTGAAATTAAACCCATGATCAAATCTTCCAGTTCATAACTCTTCACATGCTATACCCTCTCAAATATGAAGGAATAGGAAATAAATGTAGGAAGAAAATAAGAACAGCCCTCCTGGATCCATCTGTATATGATCCCCGTATTTGTTAGATGTTAAGCTAACTGGCCTGTAATTTTGTACATCCCCTCCAAACCCCCTTTTTAAGAATCACTGTGACATTTGCCACTTTCTAGTTCTCTTCTATGGAGGCTGATTTTAGCAACGTTACATATTCTAGCTCACAGACAGACAATTTCACATTTGAGATCCTTACGAATCCTTTGGTGTATGTCAATGGATCTGATTAGTTTTCAGTTGCTTATCTGACTCAGTTTTTTAGACACCCATTCCAAAGGACTGTGGCTCTGATGTAAGTATGTGCCCCAAGAGCCACAAAGAATTCATTCAGTTTCTCTGCCATTTCCCCACCTTCCTTCTATTCCTTTCTCATCCAAAGGACTGACTCCCTTCCTGGTCAATTTCCTGCTACTGATTTCTAAACTTGTTGATAGCTGAGAGATGTACAATAATGCAAACATGTGATGGATATTTTATCTTAATAATGCAAATCTGTTGTTGATATTTTCTATTATCGCAGCTTTATGATACCACATACTATGAAAAAGTATAGATAACTGTAGGCTGGATCCTACCCATCTGCTCAGCTGAGCATGGAGAAAATTCCTGTGGCAGAAAAGGTTCCTTCTGCTGGAGGAAGGTGCCATGTGAAACTGAGCAGAATGCCAGGCTCCAGCTCACTGACCCAAAGCAGTATTAAAAGGCATTAAAGGCAATGCATAAACCAGTTTAAATAGTCTATAAAAGCAAGATACTACTTTAGAAGTGCACTATACATATACTTACTTTAAACATGGGACATTATCCCGAAGCCCATCAGATGAGCTGCTGCTAGTGGATGGATGAGACTGGGGAACAATGGACTGAGGATTGGAACCTGTGCCTGGAGTAGGCAATGGTGGCACTTGTTCAGTATCTGGAGATTCTATATAGTTTATTTCATACAAGAGCCTTACTTCAAGCATCTGTAACAATGAAGTGAAACAAAATCATACAGAATCCTAGAGTACCTGATAACTACAAAACATGCCACTTTGATCCCAAACTACGGCCTTCTTGAAAGTATATCATAATTTAGGTAACGCAAGCTGATAAAATGTTCTGAGTATTACTGTAACCCTGAAGGTTTGTCTATCAATGTGGCGAAATCCAAGGTCATAGTATTCAACAAAAGGAGAAAGGGGAAAAAATTTTCAAATGGGATATAGCAGGCCAATCTATGGAACAGGTTAATCAATTTAAATGCCTGGGAATCCATTTTGAAGCATCTCTCTCATGGAAAATTCATCTGAATTGGGTGAGGAACACTGCCTTGAGAGTAGGGAGGACAACTGTCAAATACTTCTACATATTGGGAGGAGTATTTGTCCCCTCAGGGACAAATAATGCTAAGGGTTTTGAACCAATTCCTGTACAGTGCAGAAATGTGGATTCAGGCTGCTTCTGAAAAAATGGACTACATCCAGCATGATTTCTTCCAATGCTTATTGACTACTCCCAGCTGCATCTTCTCAGGAATAGCACTGAGAGCGGAATTGGGCAAATTATTAATGGAAGCTAAGCCTTGGATAAAAGCATTTATTTTTAAAGTAAAGGTTCTAAAATCTGAGTGAGGGCCCACTCTACTTGGACTTATCCAGACAGATAAATACTACAGTCAGTGGGATCAACTATTGGCAAAGAAAATGAAACACCTAGGAGTAACAAACGACATGGTTAAGAATACAGAAACTGAAGATACAATTAGGAAAATAAAAAAGCATATTAGGAAGCTGGATGTTACTAGTACGACTATCAGGGCATGTAGGGTATTGTTCGGCACCTTACTTGGGAATTGCCCTCCCAATGCAACTGCCAAGGTACTTTTATTATTTGATAGTACCAAAGGTCAGAAGAGCATTTACACTGGAAAGAATGAATGCTCTTCTGTTGGTGGTTTTGGAGAGTAGATATAATAAAGTACCATATGCTAGCAGAACATGCAGATGTTCATATGTTAAAGTTGAAACCCTTGAACACATTATTATAGAGTGACCTATATTTAATGTTGAGGGCTAATTTAATCACCCCTTTACTTAAAAATGTCGAATTGCTTACTATGAGAGCCCAGGTGACATGGTTATTATCAGATACAAAAGATCTTGTCACCCTTTCAGTGGCAAAATGTAAAGGTAAAGGTTTCCCTTGCTCAAAAGCTAATCGAATCCAACTCTAGGGGGCAGTGCTCATCTCCGTTTCCAAGCCAAAGAGCCAGCGCTGTCCAAAGACTTTTCCGTGGTCATCTGGCCAGCATGACTAAATGCTGAGGCGCATGGAACACGGTTACCTTCCCACTGAAGCAGTACCTATTTATTTACTTGCAATTTCTTGCTTTCGAACTGCTAGGTTGGCAGGAGCTGGGGCCAGAGACAGGAGCTTATTCCATCACATGGCACTAGGGTCTCAAACCGTTGAGTCTTTGGGTCTGCAACTTAGCGTCTTAACCTCTGAGCCACTGCCGCTCAGCAAAATTAGGTGCAGTAATTAAATACCAGGGAAATAATACAAAGTAAGGGGTTATTTATTTATTTATTTTAAATTCAAATTTCTGCTTAAGGCAATAGCTGTATGACAAGTACTAGATAGACAGAGATAGATAGATAGATAATTTATGTAAGTAAATTTAAAAGTAAAATTATATTCTATGCATGAAAATGCAGAACAGTGCTTAGAGATAACTGTTATCACAGTTATCAAGCATTCAGCAGCATAAGAATATGGGAATAGCTCAACCGGCCTGGCCAGAAACTTCATCATCCATGAGAAATTTTCCTATTTACATAAAAATTAAACAGCATCGGAGATAAACTGAACCTTATGGAGCACAACAGGAAAAATACCACACTGATAATTAGAACTGGTTTCCAACTGCATTTGGAATCAGATCCATAAGGAATGATTTAAAACTAATCCAGAGCACATCATTTGAGACCTAATTCTACCTCCAAATGTCTCAACAGGATGCATGATCCACTGTATGAAAGACTGCTCATAAATACAACACCCATACCCACATGGCAGCACAGCCCTTGTCCACACTCATCAAGTAAAGTCACCAATGCTGTTTCTGTGCCATAACTTATCCTGATTCAAAGGGGTCTAGAGCAAATGTGTCATCCAGGCAGGCCAGAAATTGCTTTGCTACCAGTTTCTCAATAATCTTGCCCAGAAAGATAGTTGGTCACAACACTTTTCTCCAGCAATGGTCTTCTGAGTAATGGATAGGGATGGGCACAGACAAGCTCACAAACTAAAGTTTGTGATGAATTTTGGTCGGTATGTGGTTCGTGAAGTTCATGGCAGGTCAACCAGCATCAACTTTCCATGAACGTTCAAGCGGTTCATGGAGGTTCATGCTGCTTCATGAACAGATACATTTCCAGACAGTCTCCACTCAATTTAAATGTTTACTGAACTTCGAAGCAATAGGGAGGCTGAACTTGGAGGGCATGTAGAGGAGCATCCACGAGAGGTCCCCTGCGACTTTGATGTTTCTAGCTTGCACAGGATCCACTCTATACATTCCTGAACTCCCTGAACTTGCACCTGTCAAAATGACCACCCGATGACAGGTTGTCATTTTGACAGGTGCAGGTTCAAGAGTATATAGAACGGATCCTGTGCAAGCTAGAGACACCAAACTCACAGGTGATCTCTGGCTGACAACTGTCAAAATGACCGCCTGTTATTTTGACAGATGCAAGTTTAGGAGTGTATAGAATGGATCCAGTGCAAGCTAGAGACAACAATTTGCAGGGGATCTCCGGCTATCTCTCCTTTACCTGCCCTCCAGGTTTGGTGAGGATTAGATTTACAAGGCCTGAGTTACAGCCCCCCCCCCCAAGATGCCCCCAGGAAAGTGCTTTCTGGGGAATTAAGTGGTTATTTCCCCGGAAAGCACTTTCCTGGGAGCACTTTGGGGAGATGTAACTCAGACCCCATAAATCCAATCCTCACTAAACTTGGAGGGTAGGTAGAAGAGAGTCAGCTGGAGAACCCCTGTGAGCTTGGTGTCTCTAACACACCAGAGGGACGTTCTAGTAAACCATGACCCTCACAAACCGAACCAGTTCATTTGGCCCCTAAAAGTTCATGTCAGTTCATGGTTCGCAAACCAGGCATCCCAGTTCGTGCTCACCCCTTGTAATGGACATAACAATTGCCTCCTTAAATGCTGAGGGGGAAAATGCCTAAGTGACTGATTTATAATGGACATCAAAGGCCTATCAATCAGCTCCTTACAAGATTAATAATCCATGATGATGAACAAGAGTGCAAGCAAGGGTCTCCACAGGCTCGATGATCCTGTTGACACCCATTATAACAACCTGGTTTATAAGTGATCCAGATAGTGTTTAGACAGTGCACTGGTCACATGTATAACCTAAGCTGTACATATATTACTATGTGTGTATATAATTAGTAGCTGAGGTAAGATTATACTGCTCCCCGTGGCTCATCATTGTCACGGCAACATTCTTTATGTTTATTCCATATTCTTTATGCTGCAGCAACATTCTTTAGTAGCTTGAGCTTCTAACTAATTAATATGAGAAGTTATCAAAGCATGGATGACTAATGCCAAATCCTTATCTGAGAGGAGCAGTTGTAACCACTGGTAAACAACGTCAAAGAACTTAGCAAGAAGAGAGGATGCAGAAGTACTTTCATGCAATGCTTGTTGTGTTTGTGCATGTTGTGTCTGTATGTTTGTGTCATCCATTGAGAAACTGCACCTGTGGTGACTGGCTCTGCTTTTTGCCATAAGGACAGCATACTTGCCTTGATATAATATCCAGACTAGACTAATATATGTAACAGACTTTTCTATGTGGGGCTGCCATGGGAGATGGCCAGGAAGCTTCAAAAATACAATAAAATGTTAACAGATGTTAACCATAATAAGCATAACACATCTGTATTGTACCTACTGGCTTCTAGGTACCCATTAGCTTCTGCGTCCAATAAAAAGGGCTGATTTTGACAACTAAATCCCTAAAAGGACTACCTTCAGCTTTATAAACTAGACTGAGTCCTGAGATCAATCCAGAGGCTTGCTGTGGAAATCTGTTTTTTCAGACATTCCATGAGAAGAACTTTGACAAGCTGTCATCTAGCCCCCCCCCCCCAACGTCATGTAGGGATTTTCTTTACAAGTATTCTGGTTTTGTGGATACATCTATTCCAGATGAGAATCTTGTGTTAAAGGGTATTTCATTTTGCATGGGTTTTAAAATAGGGTGGATTTTTTTTACTGTGATTTTATTCATTGTTGTATTCAAGACTTTAATTTAAAAAAACACAAACTTCTAAAATAAAATATTTTCTTTAATGGTAGTGCAATACCATTTAGATCAGGTAAAACATTTCTTCAGACCTAGAGGCTATAATTTTGTCCTATCTTGTTTAAATTTCAACCTTATGCCTCAACTACTCATAAGCATGTTTAGACAGTTTTTCAGTAATTAAATCACTGTTCCTCAATTTCATGGAAATGAAATGCAAAGATGGTTGTTAGCAGATTATTGACAACACTGCATTCCAAACTGCCTATAGTGAAATATTTACACCACAGGATTAATGTCATAGTTGGCAACCCCAGAGGATAACTTTGAGTTTGCACTCTGCACAGGCACAGAGGCTATGAGGGACCCGTTGCTGACTAGCAGCAAGAAAGAAGAAACAAATTGGGAGGGATCACCTCAGAACCAACCAGTGCCATAGAAATGCGGATGTCCTTGGCCAGAGAAGAACAATGGGCAGTCAGAGTCGCACCTAAGCTACAGAACTTCAGGAGGTCAAAACATAGAGTGGATATTTTGTGCAGCCGGGAAGGGAAAGAGGGTCTTTGCTGGAAGGGGGGCTAAGGCATCATGTTAAAGAAGCTCCTTTAGTCTCCATTTTATAGATCAAGGAGAAAGAAGAAATCCTTAACTCCAAGAAGTAGCTATGAGCACATGAACCCTGAATACTGAAACCAAGGTAATGGACGATTCCTAATTGCTTGCAACTCCAAAAATTATATTGCCTCTCTCTTATTACGATCTGTAAAAGCACGTAAGCATAAGGAATTAGAGGAGCTGTGGTTTATTCACATTTCTTTTTACCCTTGCTCAGTATGTTGTGATTGCAGATACAGTGTACACTTTTAATTTTCTTATTAAACATCTTTTCATTTTTAATGTGGTCAGAAGGATCTTTGTGACTCACATTAAGCCCCTATTCAGTCCATACATACCACAAGCAGAAAGTGTTCAATTAAGTGTGTCAGTCCCTTCAATAGCAAGTGTAAAAGGACAGGAAGACATAAACATGGAGCTAAGCCTTTGACCAGTGAAGTGGCAGAAGGGTCCTAAGCTCAAACCCTCAGGCAGAATGACCCCCTAAATATTTATTTGATGGTAGCTGTGACAGACAAAAAAGTAAGGAGTGGAGGAAGAGAAGCTTGGCTGGGCTGGAGACACAGGATGGCTAAATAACTTCCACACTCCCACGCCATGCAGAAACTAATGCTTGCAAGCCTTATTTTTCCACACTGCCAATTACACATAGAAGTTGGAAGGGCTACCCAGATGGAGTCATCCAGGGCTGCCCTCTGGCAGCAACTTACATGGCAGGAACAGGAGCACTGCAAAACAATGCCCAAACTCTCATCTATCTTAGGAGGTACAGAAAAAAATTGATATTCTCTAGTATCAAATTGTGCTTCAAGGTACGTACAGGGATACACTTTCCTGTTTTCCAAACAGTGTAGTCAAGGTGGTCTCAGTTTCAAATCCTGACTGGGATGAGATCACAAAATACATATCCCTCAAAACCTCTTCCTAGAGCCGCCTGCTACTCTCTATGGTTTCCTAATCAAGAAACACAGAACAATTCTTGCAAATTGCAGAGTCTTCATAAAAGTCAACCGGAAAAAAGAGGAGCTACAGTTTCTAGTATGAATGGTTAACAGCCAAGAAAAACATAACTTGCTTAACACACTTTCAAATTAGCAGTTTAATAAGAATCTGAACCTCAGTTTAAAACTGTCTACTGATTTCAACGGTTGTTACCAAGTAAAGCATATACTGGACTGCAGCCTACAAAACCCAAACTGTCCATAGCAGGAGACCTCTTATGGGCATGTAAGTTTTTTCAAGGGGGGAAGCAACAGCCACCCACTGATTACTGAACCTCTTGAAATTTGGTTCCTAGAGATCAGTGAAACCTCAAAAACAGCTTAGGAAGCCAAGCTGCGGGGAGAGGGGGGGGGGGGGGGGGGGGAGTCATCAGAAATTACCGCCCTCCCTTAAGAAAACTTAAGTGTCCTTGTATCTTTGGAATGTGTGGTTAGTTATAGGCCATTGTCTACGTATAGAGCTTTTAACCAATGTATTAGATATATTTAAAGTAAAATGCCACTTACTGGAATAACTTCCGTTGTGATTTCTTGTTTACTGAATCTGTAAACAATGACATGTGCAGAAACTCCTGCTATGCACAGCATTCTACTTTCTGGACACCATGAAATGATCTGAATGGCATAGGGGTCTTCATCTACGATGTCTGTGCTTGGTCTGTCATCTTTATTTCGTGACTTTTCAAAGACTTTAGATGTTTTTAGCTTGTACAGCACCTGCAGTGTTACTAGAAATAAGCCAAAACAATAAATATGCACAATTTTTTTGGAATTCCCGCTCCCTTAATACAGTAGTTATAACAATACTGAGTGAATGTTAATACACTATGTACACTTTTGATCTCTACTGGAATCTAAGGAGTCCCATGCATGCAAAGCTCATCTGAACAAGCACAGGCTTCAGAGATTGCTCCCAGCCTTCACCTGCATGCTTTTTGTATCACATGATTTATTTATTTATTTACAGTGGCTGTATCCAACCCTCCAAAAGGTCCCCATTATCCCTCAGGGACAGTGTATCAGAAATGTGACAAGCTGCAGTAGGAAGAGAGCAAGCAAAGCTCTGGTGCACATGCAGAACACTGTATGTAACCCTCTGGGTCCTGGTTATTTTACATTTCGGCTGCAATCCAGAGGGCCACATACACATGGGAATTTTTCAACCTCTACTTCCACAAGAAAGATGTCAGCCTTAATTCTCAAATATCATTAAAATAAAAATTCTCAAATATCATTAAAATAAAAAACTACAGCTTAATTTATAAAATTTCTCTTGCAAGGTCTGTTTGTGTGTGTGTGTTTTAGTTTGTATGGAGAAAATGAACACAAAATTTCTGAGGTTTCACAGGTGTTATTCGTGACCTCTAATTACGTCAAACTGGCTATCTCTTAATGTGCAATTTTAATGCTCTCCTCTGTTGCTTTCCTTTTGCCTTGTACACAGGGGTCATTTTGTAGAAAAAGAGGTGCAGGAGCTCATTAGAATAACTTATTAGCATAACTTATTTGCATATGACACACCCCCTGACATCACCGGAAGCGTGTCAGAAGGCAACACCCACCGCTCAGGTAGGAGAGCTTGTACCTGAATAAAACCTGGTCTTAAAGGTGCCACTGGACTGTTTTGGACTGGGGGGCCGGGGGGGGGGCTCTGCAACTTACCTGGCTGCTTCTTGCTCTGACTGAGGGCTGCTGTGAGCAGGGGGTGGGGCTTGTTGCATGTGCCCGCCCCCTGGGCTCTTTACTGCCAGAGCTCCGCTCCTGTGCGCTCCTGCAGGAAATGACCCCTGCTTGCACATACTAAGGGGTTGGGGTTTTTTTTTGCTCCAATACAGTTAAAATTGGTTGTCCTTACATCCTAATGACAATAATGAGAAACGTTCTAACTTAAATCCCATTGATTTGAACCGGTTTCACTACTGCTAACATTAGTTGGATTAAGGCCTTAATGGACAAGTGAATGAGGTGGAAAGATGACCCATTAATACCCATAACACAGTAAGTTTATACCAGCACACATGCTTATAAAGTGTTTTCTACAAGAACCTCACAGAACGTGGCCAAATACTCACTTGCAGAAGCATCCCAAAACTTGATTGACCCATCTGCATGCCTATGAAACAGGAAAGTTTTAAAAACTATTCTTAGAAATAGAAAGTAACGGCCCCAAGATTAAACCAATATTTAATATATCCCTATGTGGTTCATTTCCTAGAATTGTTATATTGCCAGCAAAATGCTCATAAGATATATTACTTTGTGTTTTTCCCTTATTTTTTATTTTAACATTTTGAACTGTGAATGCCTTGAATGCCATGCCTGAAAGGTACTATTTGAATGTACAAAAAAAACCCCAACAACTAAATCCTTATTTGGGTAAACTGTATTTTATCATGTCCCTCGTGCCACTGCTTGGATAGATTGACTGGGGATAAGCAGTGAGAGACCATCAATATGCTGATGATGCCCTCCTCTTTATCTCCCTATAAGCTGAATCAGGCAGGTGTGTGAAGATCATGAAAAGGTGCTTAGAGAAGACAAATGGGATAGAAGAGAGCCAGTAAACTGAAGCTCAGTCTAATCAAGGCAAATGTACCGTTGGTCAATGACAAAGTCACTTGAGGACTACAGAGTCAGCCTGTCCTGGAGCCGGTTCATAGCTTAGGAGTGCTGCAGGATCCTGGTTTATGGTTGAAGGCTCTGGTCTCCTCTGAGTCATACAGTGCCTTTGTTTTGGGTGATATGACACCTTTGGCCATTTCTCAAAAAGCATGGACTAGCCAGGCTGATCTATGCTCTGATTATATCCATCCTAGATTTACTGTAATATGCTCTACATGAAGCTACTTTTGAAAACTGCCTGGAAACTTCAACTGGTCCAAAATGCAGCAACCAGGGTAATATCAGGGGATGAATAAAGGAATGATATCGCCCTGTGCTGAAGATATGCACTGGGCCATCTGTTTCTGGGAACAATTTAAGTGCTTTAAGTACTTGAAGGACTGCCACTCCCTGTACAGTTCAGTCTGTCAATTAAGATCTGCTTCTCAAACCTGCCTTCGGTGCCCCTAAGCTGCAAAGGTGAGATGAGTAGCAACTACAGACAGGATCTGTTCAGTGGTGGTGCCTCATCTTTGGAATGCAACCCCTCCTAAGGCTTGCCTTAGGCCTACCTTAATGTCTTTTAGGTGCCGGACCAAAACATTTCTTTTCACCCAGTCTTTTTAATTAAAGACTTTTATCTTTTTAACTGTTTCATGTCTGCTTTTAACTTGAGGAATGTTTTATGGGTATGTTTTTTAGGCTGTTCAGTGTTTCTTTTCTTGTGCTATTATGATCTGGCTTGTTTTTTTGAAGGCCTGTTTCAATAGATAATTTATGTTATTTTTTATGATTTCATGGTACTGTTTTTACTTATGAGCTGCTCTGAGCAGGTCTCTGGTGAGACAGCAAATGAATTTTCTCTAAATAAAACAAAAACTCAAGGAGGTCTTGCATAATGCAGTGAGCCCTGGAAGGGTACAACATCTTTACACACACTATGAACGCAGAGACATTTCATATCCACAAGATATTCACACTGTTGCTCAACAATGCTTTATTTTCAGCAGTAAAGGTCAATGGCAACTAATCACTTACACAGGATTAAAATAGTACACTTGAGATCTTCTTTAAGATGCATTCTAAAGATCATCCTTTGCTATGGTAAATCTGGGATAAATGTCAGATTTCTTTCCCTCCCTAAACTGCATTAAACTGTGTAGTAGAATACAATATGTTTACTTTGTTTCACAGTGCTAAATGAGAGCAACCGATAACTGAACCAGTCTTATGTATTTCAAGGAGGGGCTATGGCTCAGTGGTAGGGTATCTGCTTGACATGCAAAAGGTCCCAGGTTCAATTCCCTACATCTCTAGTTAGAATTTACTTATTTATTTGTTAAAACAATTACACTCTGCCTTCCCTCAGGGTTCAACGATCAAGACCTCTGGAAGACCTCTGCTTAATGTAAGCCTTGGAGAGCCACTGCCAGTCTGAATAGATAATACTGGTCCTGATGGACCAAAGATTTGATTCGGTATAAGGCAGCCTCATGTGTCATATACATAAATATAACCAAAGTTTCTGGTATTTTTCTTTCTGATACAATGTGAAGACTTGTAAAAGATCTCTTATTGAAATTGTTCTGAATTTAGAATATATTTTAATGGACCAAAGATAACTTGTAAAGCCATCCTAAGTAGAGTTACATCCTTCTAAATTCATTGATATCAATGAGCCTAGCAGAATGTAACTCTGTTTAGGGTGGAACGATTAACCACCACTTCAATCTCTTCAGGAATCCAGTCTGAGTGAACTGATTTGTTATTGATTGGCTGCTGTTTTAAATTGGCCACTTTTTATAACATCCCCCCCCATGTCTGCAGCTTTGAGTATAAATAATTCTGCAAATGGATGAATACTTCATGCATCCAGTGAAGCAAGCTCTGACTCACAAAAAATTATGTTGGAATAATTTTTTTTATTCTTTAAGATGCCATTGGATTCCTGTTTTATTTTGCTGCTGCAGACTAACATCAGTAACACATCTGGAATTATCTTCAGGAATCTATGAATACAAACAATGAATGTTTAACTCTTTAGGTTCAATACCATTGTTTCTCAATTTTTCCCACTAAAAGGATATGTATATTAACTACCACAAACAGAATGTGATTGTGGCTTCTGCAGACTTTACTACAAATTCAAATTTAAATTTGATTAAGTTAGAATGTGCAGGATAAAGATTTCAAAATATATTATTTTAGTTGATTGCAGAACATTGTCACTGAATATGTGAATATCTGATTTTTTACTATATTACTATAATATTTAGCCAAATTATAAATTGATAAAATGATTTCTACAAGTCATTAAAACTCAACTTAAATTAGTCAATACTGTAAGAGTTATCACTATTCAGGATTTAGACAGATAATCATATCATGAATATTCCACTAAATGTACTTTACATCAAAGTGCATTGTTGTGCTTTAAAGGCTAATAAACATCTTATGGCATGAGCTTTCATTAGCCAGAACCTCCTTCATGAGATGCATCTAATGAAGGGGTGCTAGCTTATGAAAGCTTATACCACAGTAAATGTGCTATATAGTCTTTAAAATGCCATAAAGTTCTGTGACTGCACCCAGAGTTCCAAATTAATTAAAAATGTGCAAAGACCCAGCTTCTGCCTGATATAAGCCTGCATCTGGTTTCTTCCTCTGTCCCTCTTGTGTGGAAGGTGATGCAGGAATGATGGGTTAAGAATAATCCAAGTTGCCTGTGACATAAGGATGTAGGCATACCTTATTTGAAGTTAGTTTCCTCCACAAGCCAAGATTCAATCCGGCTTTAGGATTCCAGTTAGCACAGGGAAAACAGCTAAGCTGCATACCCACATTCATACACCTAACCAGGGTTAGTCTTAAACCACCATTCTTTCATCATGCTCCAAGCAAGAAAGAACAGGAGAAGACAGACATAAACAAAAGGTATGTGCATATTTTTTGTTTCACTGTGAGTAAACTGGATATCTGAATATAACCTTTGTTAGTCTGTTGCAGCCAAACCAACATGGCTACTCTTTGGTAAATATACTTTCTAACTCACCTTGTCTGCAGTCTACATAACATTGCATCTCGTTTTCAGAACGCTTGCAGAACCAAAGTAAATGCTGGGAACATTATTTACAGAACAAATAATAGAGATAAAAATACAAGAGATTTAAAATTTTACTTTGTTTATTAATGTGTAGGCTATTTTTCCAGATTTGCTCTGTTCAAACCATATAAACCAATAAAAACAAAGTGCAAAGGCGATTATACAACAGTTAAATCAATAAATTAACACACCCGTTAACCTCAGAGCTGTCACAATTTAAAGCTATCCTGCTACTTACCCAGTAATAATGATCTCTGGGTAACTCTGTGTAACCAAACCCCAGTTTCCACCATTGATAGGCCATTCCTAAGTAAACAAACCAATAGATTAAACTCAATGACACTTAACACAATTACTAAGAAGTAAGGATTTTAATTTGTCTTCGTACCTTTTTACTATAACCTTGACGCTTCTGGCGAGCCCCAACTGAATAAAGTGCTGGAATAAGGTCCACTGGACAATCGGCAAAGTATTCACAACAGGTAACTGGGGATTCATGTATACTCAAGGGATAGGGAGTCTCAAATATTGGATACCTTTAATGAAAGCAAGTAAACATTAGGTAAGTTTTATTGAAATTTTAAATTATTTTCCAAGCTAAGGCTATTTCACCACCATCAAACGTGAACAGAAGGAATATAAAGTTCAGTAACTACACAGACAAAGAAAAAACTCTAAATATGTACAATGCACTAATAAAATATTCATTTACGGTTTTCATACGACTTTCTTGGAACACAAGAGTGAAGAACTGGTTGCAATTTCATTCTGCTGGCCATGTCCAGGTCAACTAACCTGCTGAGGGTGGCCAATGTACTTTGTACAAATGTATTTTAAAAGACCCTTCAGTACAATCCTACAAACACTTTCCTGGAAGTAAACCCCACTAAACAGACATGAGCAGGGTTCTGAGTAGGATTACTCTCTAAAACTCTAGAGAACAGCTGTGTGTGATGTCATTAATGTACCTCACTGCTAATGAATGAGCAACATGTATATCACTTTGAGTTCCTTGGAGAAAGGGCAGGATAAAAATATAGCTACATAAATCTGTGTTTAGGATAAGAATTGCAACTAGAAATCACACCGCAGAACATAACAGCAAGAGGGTAAAGGGGAAATTGCTTCACAAATGCATATCCATTTGGTAACCAGCCACTACAGGTTCTATGGTTACAGCATTTCATTTCTTATATATACTTGATGTGTGATGCTGGTTGCATGTACACTTGATTTGAATGATCTATTCCCCTAAAAAGAGTGGGGAAAGTCAACTGTTATATTGTAAGCATAGTAAGGACACATGCAGACTGATACTTCCCACCAAGCACACCTGTGCACCAGCATATAGTATGCCATGTTGAGTTGCTGTAGAAATGCATTCAAAGCTTTTCACTCCAGAAAAGGAACAACAGAATTGAAGACACTCTTCACTGGTTCTTTTAGCTATCTTATAAAAGGGTTCAACGGGTCATTATCAAAACGGACTACAATAGAAGACTCAGAATTTTTGATAACCACATTAATCAAACTATATATATTGCAGCACTTATGGAGCAGAGACCCCTCCATGAAATCCCATTATACCCTAAATTCTTACCCATTTTGTGCAAGATCAATAAGTACTAAATCTTTTTCTAGAAGGACAATCACTGCATATGGCTCTTGGAAATCTAAAAAAAGAAGAAAGGGTATTTATTAAGTTGCTTTTGTTAAATATAAATCTTCTACTTTGAAATTTTTTGAGGCTACATACAACACACCAGTCTAAGCATTTAAGTAGTAAAAATGTTGCATCTAAGATACTATTTTAGATTAAGTTGATCACAACAAATGTTGGAAAACTCAGGAAAATAATAGTACCCAATAAACCCTATTTAACCCATTATTTACACAGAAAGCTCTAAAAATGTTTATCAGAAAAGGCTACTAACAAACATTTTCATTGCGGTACTAGCAGAGATTTACAGATAACACAGTATTTTTATTGCCAGTATGCATCAATGAAACCTATGATCTTTTTCATGTAGCACAGTCTGATTTGATTAAGGCCAATGTATACATCACAAACTCCATGTGACAGACATGTGGTCTGTCAACAGACGTGTGCCTGGAGTTCCATGCTGAGGACCTGATTTGGATCAGGACAATAGCACACAGAATGAAAGGGCTCAAGCTTTTGTACCACTGTGGGGGTTTTTTACCCCAGGGAGAAGCTATCGTCCCTGTTATGCATACCCTTCATTTTAAGCAAGTTTCCCAGTGAGGAAAACACTGGCTCCTAAGGGCTGTTTCAGGGCCGGAAAGCAGTGCGGGGGGAAGGTTTAAGTCCCTTTCCACTGTGTGCCATGATCCCAATACCAACGGGCCACTGCACATCTGGGTATTAAGCTCCTAGGAGGCAGCTCCAGGCACACGTCTGATCCAAAGTCCTTGTGACAGTTACAAGAATTTTGCAATATGTGAATCAGCTTCAGACAGACTCCTCTCAGTACTGCAGATTGGGCTTCTACAGTGCCTCTGTCAGGAACATCTCCCACTTCCAGTCCTTTTCTCTTTTTAATACATAGTCTGATTTTTTTTCCTGTGAAGTGCCAAAAACAACTTACTGCTTTCAAATGATGCTGGCTACTTGCCTCTGATACTCAAAAAACACTGGCGGATCAGAAACAGGCAATGAGCTCACACCACTTCTCTGTCCTTTCCTGTGTCATGTGGATTCCCTTCCCCATTTTCTGGCTGCAATAACCATTACTTACCTAAATCAGGCAACTATGGTTACCACTAGCCCAGTGGTGTACCGGGGGTGGGGCAGAGGGTGCAGTCTACCCGTGGTGTAGCTTGAGGAAGGCCTTTGAAGGGGGCCCTTGACGCCAGTGTAATGCTGCATCCAGCCAAATGTCTTTCCTTTTATTTTTACAATGCAGTTCTGCCTGCAACCACTAGGGGTCTGAAGACAGCAAAAAACATTCTAGGGCTGCGGTCAGATGGCGGGCTGAGAGCGGGTTAAACTGCTCCAGTTCTAACTGGATTATATTTTATCTGGATAATCGCAATCACACTTACCTCCCTTATCCCGCCTCCCTGGCATCTACACTACCGACGCGTGGGAGTGTGCATCGGCAGGTTTTTTAATTTTTTCTCAGTTTGCACATGTGCATAGGTGCCCCTCCGTAGAATGGGGGGGGCTATCATGGCGCATGCGCAGAACCACCAGGGTGAATCAATCCAACCCCTCCAACAAAAGACTTTCCTTTAAATGTTTGACCCAAAAATGGCCTCCATGAGATCCTGAACTCATCTAAACTCTAAAACAAGTGACCGTTTAAATGTCGGTTTTCTAAACACAGCAGCAGAGCTCCACCTATGCGCACACTGCCAATGCTTTTTTTTTACCATCAAGTCGCAGCTGACTTATGGAGACCCTGTAAGGTTTTCAAGGCAAGAGATGTTGGGAGGTGGTTTGACATTGGCTGTCTCCATTTGGCCCCACTTAGCTTCTGAGATCTGCCAAGATCAGGGCTAGGCTGAGAGTAATGTGACTGACCCAAGGTCACCCAGCAAGCTTCCATGGCCACGAGTGGAGATTCAAACCTGGATTTCCCAGATTCTAGTCTGACAGTTTAACCACTATACCATGCTGGCTCCCCCTGATGGAACAGCATGCTGAAATTTTAATTATTTTTTTTACTGGCCTGATTATATATGCAGAGTTAAAGAAAAGAAAATTTTCACTGTCTGCGTTTCTTTTCTGGCCGTTATTATTATTTGTTTTATTTCATGATTATTACTGAAAATACTTTTTTCATTATTGTGGAGGGAGCTCTGACCTGGATAGCCCCAGCCCAGCCTGATCTCATCAGATCTCAGAAGCTAAGCAGGGACAACACAGAGGCAGGCAATGGCAAACCACCTCTGGATGTCTCTCGCCTTCAAAACGCAAGGGTGTGTGTGCCGTAAGTCAGCTGTCACTTGACAGCAAAAAAAAGAGGAGGGGGTGTTAAAAATTATTCGCCCTGGGTGTCAAAAAGGCTTGTAGCCTACAAAATTATGGTTTGCAAACCTACCTTAAACTATGTAAAGGTAATTAGAGTTCATACAATTATGACTTTTGAAGGAAACCCAAAGATAAGTTGTATAAAACAGTTATTTATTTTATACCCCACCTTTCTCAATGAGACTCAAGGCAAATTACAGAATAAACAACAATGCAATCATACAGAATAAGACATCCAATGAATAATGCCATAGGACTCGGATTCAAAAAACATGTGAACAACAATCTGCCTAAGGCAAGATATACTGTAAACCAGGGGTGTCAAACATGGGAGGGCTTCTATCAGGCCCACAGTGGAATTGGCTGTCTTCTGCTTCTTCTTCCAGTTCTGCTGCGTCATTGTAGGTTTACAGCTTACAAATACACACCTGAACAGCATACTCAAGATTGCAACAGCACAGACATTTTGATGCAATAAGTCAGAGCGAGAGGTGTCAGTTATCAGACACTGCTAAATAAACAAAATATTGCAAGAGTGCTAATGTTTTAAGCATGTTAAACCCCTTAATGTTTGTGTCCTTTATAACATTTGTATCTCTGCTACCTGGCATTGCATTTTATGACACACGTGGCCCAGCCCAACAAGGTCTCATTTATGTAAAATCCGGCCCTCATAACAAATGAGTTCGACACCCCTGCTGTAAACAATGCAGAACTAGAACACAATGCAGTAAAAGTCAGATAATTACCTACAATAAATCACTGCAATGGACTAGACTACAGTCCTGTCCCATTATAAAGGTCCTCTCCTGGACTGTTCCTTTCTGATACTGTTCTTTATAAAATGTCCTCTGGAACATATCTATTTTGTGCATTCTGTGAAATGGTAAGTGTGGGAACCTTACTGACCTCAGGTGAGCTGTTCCACAAGCTGGGAGCCACCACAGAGAATGTGTGGTGCCTTCAGAATGCTTTGCTCAGGAATGAGCGAAGCTGTCACAGCAGAGCACAGCAGGTAAGACAGTCCCGCAAGTATCAGGGTCCAAGGCTATTAAAGGCACTTTAGGTGATAACCAGTCCCTTAAACTAAGCCTGGTAACTAATTAGTAACCAATCGTGTGACTGTAAAATATGGGTTCAGTTCAGGTTTTAGGAACATGGAGTAAGCTGCAGAACCTTGAACATCTTCATCTTGACATCCCCTTCCCACACAAAAATCAACCCTGCCCCACTTTCCCTGTTTTAACAATGAAACTACCACCGAGGCAGCTTCTCAAGAAGTGTTTTGGACTAGTTTCATTTTAACTTTGAGTGGTCACAGTAGCAAGCAACGTTGAGGGATGGTATATTTGTAAAAGAGACAGAAGGGATAACACAGTTGCACTTACCTTTAACTGATGTTCATCGAGTGGTCCTCTTTGCAGACACACATGGGACTGCACATGCACAGGCCAGCCACGGAGAGGAATCCTCCAGATTTCTCAGCTCTAGAGAGTACTCTCCCCCTCCCATGTGGAGCTGGCATTTCCTGCCCAAACTGGCATGTGACAAGGAGTAGGGGAGCAGTTTTCCTTTCACCACAATGAGGGAATGGCCCTGAATGCAGAGCAGCCCACAGCGGGGAAAGGAGGGAGGGATGTGTGCCTGCACAGAAGACCACTTGATGAACATCAGTTACCAGTAAGTGCAATTATGTTTTTGTCTTTGTGGCTTCTGTGTGTAGTCCCACATGGGAGAGTAGCAAGCTTACTTACTGAGGAGGAGGAGGAGGGTGTGGGCTGGTCAGTGAAAGACTGATTGAAGAACTGCTTTTCCCACAACTGCCTCTTTCCTGGAGTCCACATCTATTGAATATTGCTTCACGAACATGGATGGATTCAACCACATAGCTGCTTTGCAGATGTCCACCACAGAGACCCTGCTCTTGAACGCTGTTGAGGATGCCTGTGCCCTGGTCAAATGAGCCTTAAAAAGGGAATGGACTCTGCAAGCCTGCCAAGCTATAAGCCAACTTAATGGCTAAGACTACCCAATGGGACACAGACTGTGACTGCTCTACCCTTGTTGTGAGCTGGGAAACAGATGAATAGGGGACTGTCTCTCCTGAATTCTTTTGTACAATCTAAATGAAACAACAGACATCTCCTCACATCCACTATATGCCGTGATTGCTTAGTGGGAGAGGTGGAATAAATGATAGATTAGGTCTAAGGACTACCTTCTCATTATAGAACTTGAGGTATGTGGGCTCCTAACTTGCTAAACTAGCCAGCCAATGTGATCACTACCAAGAACACTGTCTTGTATGATACAAAGAATAGGTCAGATGTAGTTAGGGGCTTGAAGGGCTTACTAAGTAAGCTGGATAAAACCAGGGATAAGTTCCACTGAGGGGTGAGTGCAGCAAACTGCAGGAACAGATGGAGCAGCCCCCAAGGAACCTCTTAGACTGAGAAGCAAAGAAGACTGCACAACCATCAATCCTGTTGGGGTATGTGGGAACTGCTGACAAATGTACTTTTGTAGAAGACACTAAGGAAAGGAGATAATCAATAACTGATAATGGGCAAGAGGGAGGACTGTAACCCCTATAGGTCACCCATGGGAAAAACATGTCCCATTTTGACATGTAGGACTTGTGGGTACCGGGCTTAAGAGCTGCCTCCATTATCTGTGATACCCTAGCTGAATATGCTGGCCTTACAGGATCAACCAAGTTGTTTGATGCAGTGAATGCCTGTCATGGTGTACCAGTGGGCCTTTTTGAAGGAGGTCAAACTCTGGAGAGATGGTAAGGTGCGTCCTCTCAGACAGTTCCTAGGGTGTGGGCAACAAGATACTCCCAGGCCAGAAAGGGGCAATCAGGATACCCTGTGGTCTTTCTGCTTTGATCTTCAAGACCACTCTGTGAAGGATAGGAAGGGGGGAAGGCATAGAAGAACTCCACTTGTCATCAGAGCTGGAACACATCTCCAGCATCCCCAACAGCTCATGCCGTTCTTGAACAAAACCTGGTATTCCAAGGGGATACAAATAGGTCTACCCTTGGATGGCTCCACTCTTGGAACACTCTCGGTTCTAAGTACTGCGAGTTCAAAGACCACTCATGGTTGGAGTTTAACTCCCTGCTCAGATGGTCTGCCCTGAGGGTTTTCATGCCAGAAATGTGGATGGCTTGAATGGAGGTGGTCATGCTTATGACTTTGTGCCAGATGAGAGCAGCCTCTTTGCAAAGGGAGGGAGACCCCATGCCTTCCTGTTTATTTATGTAAATTTTTCTGTGGTGTTGTCTGTTGCCACAAGGAGTCTCCTCCCGTGCAGGAGAGCTGATTTCTAGGTTGATATGAAGACTCCCTAGCAGACCAGAATCCCCTTATTGAAAATTCCCCACAATGGGCTCCCCACCCTCTCGGTGAGGTGTCCAAGAAGACCTGGATGTTGTGGTCACAGGGCTCAAAGAATTCCCCTGGATAAATTGCCCTCATCCAACCACCAAAGCAGAGACCTCAACACTGTTCTAGGTATAGGCAGCTTCTGGGATCGGGGGTCCACATTGCCTTTGAAAACCCTGAGAAACCACTTCTGAAGGTCTCTCATTCTGAGCCTAGCATATAGCATCATGGATGCTGATGCAGCCATCATGCCTAACAATTTCTGAATGTGTTCTGCTTTTTGGAAACAGCTGCATGAAAAACCATGCCACCACAGCCTGGAGGGCCTGAATCCTATCTAGGGGCAGGAAGGCTTTACTCTGAATGGAATCCAATGTGAACTCAATGAAATCCACCTGCTGTGAAGTGTAGAGTTGGGACTTATATTGGTTGAGTAACAGGCCCAAATCAGACAGGATTTGGATAGCTGTATCTATAGAATACTGTAGCTCCTGACAGAAAGAAGCTACAAAAAGTAGGGGTACACAACACAACCTCTCGATCTGAGATGAGTGATAACCACCATCATACATTTTGTGAAGGCCCTGCAGGCTGTGGCCAGTCCAAGGGGCAACATGCAATATTCAAAGCATGAGTCTCTGCACTGAAACCTGAGGAACGTCCTTGAGTATTCATGGATGGCTATGTGGAAATACACATCCTTCAAGTCTACTACTGCAAAGCACATGCCTGCGTTTAAAAGAGGTAGAACATCCTGCAGAGAAACCATCCTACATTTGGCCATATGCAAAGATTTATTGAGGGCCCACAAATTCAATACAGGGTGCAAACTACCACCTTTTTTCATGATAAGGAAATACATAGAAAAGAAACCCTCAACATATTGCGAAGGTGGGATCTCTCTATTGCTCCTTTTCAGAGAAGGTCCTCTACATCAACCCTCAGTTGGGGAGGGGGATTGGGAGGGGAGGTATTAGGCAAGTTGAAGGGTGGAGGTGATGCAAATTCCAAAAAAAAGCCATGATGAATAATGGCCAGAACTCAACTATATTTAGTAATGGAACACCAACTAAGAAAAATCTGGCATAAATGGTTGAAGAACAATGGAGAGTCAGTTAGTCATGCAAAGGATTTACTCCTATTGGGTTGATCCCTCAGGGGACCAGATTGGGGTTTTCCCTTTTGCTTTTGATGTTGCTTCCTGTTATGTTGTTGCTGCGTATAGGATGGGTGGAAAGAATGAAACTATTGTTGAGGAGGTTGACAATGACAGGTTCTGGAATACTGGAAGGAGTGCCTTGGAAAATACCTTGGTTTCCCTGAAGAGGAAGGCAGTGCTGTCAGGCCCAGGAACCTGGTGGTCAGTTTGTTCTTGTGCATCCACTCCAAGGTGGAATCTGTTTGGTTGCTAAACAGCTCCTTTCCCTTCAAAAGGAATATCCACCACTTTCGCTCCAGTGTCCACCGGCAGAGCTGAGAATCAAAGTGTCAATGCAAAGCTATGCTGGAGGCTCTGGCCCTGGCACAGCAATCAAAAAAGTTTAATTGCTGTTTCCCTAGCTTCATCCCTTCAGTCTGGAGGACTTCAACAGTGGTATTTTTGTCTCCAGGGAGGAGGTCCAGATACTGCCCCATCTGCTCTCAGAGGAGCATCTGGTACCTTCCCATGTTGACTTTAAAACTGGTCACTCATAGGCCCATCGCACCACATATGTATATCCTCCTTCCTAGGGAATCTAACTTATATCCCTACTTGTCAAGTAGCAATGCATGAGCTCCTGCCCTTTGCTTGGAGGGGGAGGACTTCCATCACTAGAGAGTTGGCTGGGGGGTGTTGCATTAGGATTCCACATCTGACCTCTTTAACCTTATAAAGGTTCTCTAGCTTCTTGGAAGCAGCAGGGATGGATGCTGGCTTTGACCAGATTCCAGTTGCTGTATCCAAAAGACCCTAGAGCATGGGAAAGGCTACAGATTCCATGTTCTCCAAATACAAAACCTTTAGGAATGGATCTGAGGGTTTTGGATCTGTGGGGGCCACATCAAGATCCAGGGCTTTAGCCATGCAAAGGAGTTGTGCAGAATATAACTGGCAGTCCTCAGTAGGAGAAATCAGAGAGCAGAATCCCACAGCATTATCTGGTGTAGGAACGGAGGGGGCTTTGGAGTCGACATTGGATCTGTGTAACGCTAGTTCCTCAGAGTCAGAATCGAACCATTCCGAGGGTAACGCCAGATGTTGGGCACTTATCGATGGTGGGGCAGATGGATGCCTCTTAGAAACTGATGGCCCCGGAAGCATGCCCGACTGAAATGGCTGAGGCCATGAAGGATGTTGGTCCCATTGACTTCAGCTACTGTGAGGAGACTGCTCCCCCTTTCCCTATCATGTGCTGGTTTGGGTGTGAAACAGCGGCTCCAGAAGGGTGGGAGGAAAGCACTCTCTAAAGCTCAGAAAGTTCCATAAATCTGTAGAATTCCTTTCTGTGGCCAATCTGTGTATGCACAGTCCCATGTGAGACTGCACAGAAGCTACAAGGATGAGTAAGAAAGTGTACAATATCCCATGGCATGCTCCAGACCCCTGAAACTGACTTGGCTGCACATCCAGACTGGGCCAAGGTTTGCCCTTAAGGACACAGGATTCCATATAGTAGCAGCAAGGAACCAATATGAACTAGCCAAAAATATATAAAGATTCCTCTCAGAACCTACCATTAGAGTATGGAGTTTCGCAGAGGGTTAGAAAATCAACTATTGAATAATCCATCTCTAAAACAGCAGTGCTCTTTCCATGCATGACTGTTAAACAAGGTCTTCTTCCTACAGTGTCATATGACAAACCACCTGACAAAATGATGAAAGGTTCTCTGGAAAGAAAAACAAAATTAAGTAAATAGTCGAAGGGTGGAATTGATTTTTAATTTGTAGTATTACTTTTACTGTCAAACTACTTGAGATCAACCGACCAAACTGCAGCACTAATTTATGTTCTGGAACAATCAATCAGAAACTTGTTATGTTTAAGGCCTCATTCAGATTAATGAATTAAACAAATTTAAAACAAGGCTGCACATACCTGTAACTGTTGTTCATCAAGTGGTCTTCTGTGAAGGCACACATGGGACCACGCTTGCATAGGCCTGATCTTTTTCTAAAGCTCTCTAGAATGTTTGGAGTGCTCAGCCCCCTTCCCTCACATGGGATGGCTCTTTCCACCCAGCAAGCATGTGATGAGGAGAGGGAAGCGCTCCTTCCTTCCATCCCTTCTTGCTGCCATAGATGGACCTCAAAAGCACAAGGATCTCACAGTGGGGAAAGACCACTCAATGAACAATAGTTGCAGGTAAGTGCAATCTCATTTTCACCTTCATGGCTTCTGTGCAGTCCCACATGGGAGAATAGCAAGCTGACTTACTGGAATGGGGCAGGAGTGGGATCCTCAGCAAAATAAGGACTTAAGAACCACTTTCCCCACAGCTGCATCCCATCTGGAATCAACATCAACTGCATAATGCTTGATGAACATTGACAGGGAGGACCAGGTAGCTGCCTTGCAGATGCTGTCCAAGGGGATGTTGCCGAGGAAGACCGCAGAGGAAGATTAAGACGTGGCTGAGTAAGCTCTGAGATGGAGTGGGCAACTGACCTTGGAGCCAGAGTATGCCAATTGTATGACCTTGACAACCCAGCATGAGATTGTTTGGGAAGAGGCTGCCTGGCCCTTGTGGGGGGTCAGCAAAGCAGACCAACAGGCTGACCTCCTTCCACAAAGATGTGGTGTGGTCTAATTAAAAAAAGCAGTGATCCACGAACATCTAAACTGTGCAGGACTTGTTCTATGTCTGATGTGGGAGAGGAAACAAACACTGGCAGCAATGTTCCCTGTAAGCTGTGGAGTCTCGTGAGCAAAAATTCTACTTTGTGAGCTACTGGCATTTATTTATTAGATTTTTACCCCGCCCTCCCAGCAAGGCCAGCTCAGTGAGTGAAGTAGCGAGTGAATGATTTGGCTACTGCATAAATTAGTTTGCTCTGGAGCCATCCTTCCTGAGCTAAGAGAAAAATGTGTGTGCCAGAAGCTAAAGAACTGTGAGCTAGCTCACATTAACTCAGCTTAGAGGGAACACTGACTGGCAGGACTATGTCCTGGGAAACGTGGGTGGTGGTCAAAACCTTTGAGAGGAAGTCCAGACTACAGAGAACAACTTTATCCAGATGAAACATGGTAAAGGATGGGATTAAGGCCATAAGGCCTTGAGTTCTCCTGCCCTTTGGGCAGAGGTAATTGCCAGAAGGAAAGCTACCTTATAGGATAGGAAGGACAAGTCACATGTGGCAAGGGGCTCAAAGGGGTTAAACATGAATGACTCCACTGAATGAAATGAAACACTCCACTGGGGTACGGGAGGGGGTGCCGGAGGGTGTAAGTTAAATAAATCCTTGAGGAATTTATTGGAAATTGGGGTTGGAAAAAACAAGAAAACCCACAACAGGATTGTGGAAGGCTGAAATGGCGGACAGATGGACCTTAACTAACAGCCCCATCTTTCAAGTGTAGTAAGTATTCAAAAATATAATTTAATGGGCAGGACTCAGGGTGAAGGCTGCAGACACTCAGGAGAAAAACTTGGACCATTTAGTGGCTTAAGATCTCCTTGTTGAGGGACACCTAGAAGATAACAACACTTGTGCTACTCTATCCAGTGATTGTGTATCAGCCAGGCTCCTAGGTATAGAGACTTGACATCGTGGTGGAGGAGAGGTCCTATATGGAGCAGGTCCATCAGCATGGGGAAAGCTACATAACAGCTTTGTGACAGAAACCACAGTGTCATGAGTCATACCTTTTTGGGCCAAAAAGGGGTAAACAGAATGCAGCTGGATCTGTCCTCTCAGTTCTTGGTGAGGACCCTCCCTAACAAGGAGGCCAGGGGAAGGCATAGAAGAGGGTTCCTTGCCAGGTCAGCTGGAAGGCGTCTCCTATGGAATGAGTATCCTCTCCTGCCAGTAAGCAGAACTGAGGCCACTTGGTGCTAGAAGAGGAGGTGAACAGGTCCACCTGAGGTAAACTCCAGATGTGGAACACAGGGAGTAGGTAATTGTCCTTGAGAGACAATGCGTGTATAGACTTGTCACCTCCGCTGACGGTGTCCACTATCCCATTCACTACCCTGTAGATGTGGATAACCTCCAATGAGTCTGCATGTTGGAGGGGCCCAATGCCAAAGAAGAGAAGCTTCCAAACAGAGGGAGAGGGAACCAGTACCTCCCTGCTTGCTTATGTAGAACTTTGTTGTCATGCTGTCTGTGGCTACTAGCACTCTTTTGCCGGATACTAGAGCTGTAAAACAAACCAAAGCATATCTGACTGCCCTGAGCTCTAGAAGATTAATATGCATGCCCCACTCAAAAGGGGACCAATGACCACTGGCCCTATGGAAGCCACAGTGTACCCCCAGTCCGAAAAAGATGCATACGTCAAAACCTGAACATTGTGGCATGACATCCCAAATGGGGAGCCTGTCAGTAGGTTCTCCCAAGCTGACCATCACCCTTGGGAATAGACTACAGCTCTAGAAATAGACAGTTTCTGCCAGTTGAGTCTGACTGCACACTGACAGATCTAAAAAACCAGTTCTGAAGGTGCCTCATGAATAATTGGGCAAAGGGAACCACAGCAGTAGTGGAGGCCATGAGGCCTAGAAGCCTCTGTATAGACCTAATAGACTGGAATCTATTGGAGGAAAACTTGTAAAGTATTGCTTGTATGGAAGCTGCCCTATTCTGTGGGAGAAAAGCCTTGCCACTGATGGAGTCCAGGAGGGCCCCAATGAATAGGATGGATTGAGTTGGATACAGGATAGATTTATCCCAATTGATCTGGAGGCTCAGCGAACTTAGTGTGGAAACAGCTAGGGAGATATGATCAGCTAGTAGACTGGGGAAGAGCATGGTAAAAAGCCAATCATCCAAGTAGGGGTAGACACAATCCCTTAAAAATGCAGGTGAGGAACTACTGAAGACATGAACTTGGTAAATGCCCTGAGGGCAGTGGCCAAGCCAAAGGGAAGGGCAGCATGCTGGTAGCAGACGTGGCCACACGGGAAATGAAGAAACTTCCTTGATCTGGGGTGTATGGTAACATGGACGTAAGCATCTTTACGGTCAATTCTGGCAAACCAGTCTTTGGGGGGGGGATCAGGTTCATGACCTCCTGTAATGTGGTCATATGAAATTTAAGAACCAAGAGGAACTTATTAAGAGCCCTTAGGTCCAAGCTAGGACATTTACCACTGTTTTTCTTATCAAATAGGAAATAACAAGAATAAAAATCAGTTTTGGTTTCATGCAATGGAAAAGGTTCAATGGCCCCTTTATTTAAAAGTAGGAACACCTCTTGTTGCAACTCTGGAGGTAGCATGGGGGGGGGATCAGGGGGACAACCAACTGGTAAAACAGGAAACTGAAGGAAATATCCTTGCTGAACAATGCTAAGAATGCATCAGAAGTAACATACTTCCAAATGGGGCGGTAATATGATAAACAGGGTATAACAAGTAGAGACTGGAGAAAAAGTCAGGACTGAGGCCAGAGCCCCTCCCCCCCAAGATGAAGTAGGACCCTGCTTGGAGCAGGGTCAGCCCTGTTGATTCCTTTCCTGCGAATACTGAAATGAAGGGCGCAAGGAAGAATCAGAGAAGAAGGGCTGGTACCATTGTGGTTGCAATGACTGTGAATGAGTTGTGTGTCTCTGGAAGTAGCAAGGTTTGTGGGTCTGGGTGGGTGGACTGGTGATGCTAAGGGACCTTGCAGTGATTTTATTATTTTGCATCCAGTCTAGGGCATCATCAGTCTGGGAACTGAACAGATTCATTTCCTCAAAGGGGAAGTCCTTGATTCTTGCCTTAGTATCGCTGGGAAGGGCGGTGCAATGGAGTCAAGAGTGGTGCCGTAGGACTATGGTGGAAGCAATGGATCTACTGCATGAGCCTGTGATATCTCATGTGGCATTTAGTTGCTGCTTCCCTAACTTGAAACCCTCTGTCTGTAGGACTTTGACCATAGCTTTGTGTTCTTCTGGGAGTGAATCGATAAACATAGCCATTCTTTTGGTAGCACCCCATAATGGCATTAACGTTTGCCATGTGTAGAGTTAGGGCCAATGATGTGTAGATCTTGCAGCCAAGGCCATAAGCTTATGTCCTTCTCAGTGAAATTGTAAGGAATGAAGCCCAGAGCACGGTTTGGCTAGGATGACCTCTGTCACAGTAGAGTTAGCAGTAAGGTGGGCAAAAATGAAATCACAGTTTTCCTGTAAACCTTGTACATACGGTCAATTTTCTTGGCAGCGGAGGCGATAGATGCTGGCTTGGTCCAGATGGATTTTGATATGTCCAGCGATCCCTGTAGCATCGGGAATGCAATTAAGCATGTGTTGGGTGGGTAAAGGACCTTTAAAATGGGGTCAGATGTAGTCAGTTCTGAATAGATCACTTCGGTATTAAGAGACTTAGCCATTCAAATAACTTGTTCAGAGAAAAGATGGAGTTTCTCAGTTGGGGAAACAGGCAACAGATCTGCAATACATTTGTCGAGTGATGGTTCCGAGGGAGCATCAGAACTGCCTAAAGACAGAGGCTTCTCCGTGTTCGATTCAAAGGGACTCAGATCCATAGCAAATGGAGCTGGCAGGAGCATGACATGGCCGGGAGCTCGGTTCCACGAAAGGGGGTAGCTATTGTTCCCACTGCATAGGCCAGTACACAGGCGGTGGAGCATACTGGAACCATTGCAAAGATGGTGGTCCCCGATATTGCGGGGCCAGAGAGTCTCCTGAAGTTCTACAATGCTTTTTAGCTGGGGAGCTTCAGCAGGAAACTGGGGAGCAACCTCAATAACGTCACTGGATGAAGGAGACAGCAACTGTCTGGGAGTCAGAGGGGGGGGTCTGGGGTCACCAGATGGGGAATGGATCTGCTCCTGGTTGGGTGGAGGAGGGATGCAAAGTCTTATGCTTCGACTTCAATTTTTTCTTTTACAGCGGTGGTTCTGAGGTACTGTGTGCCACTAAGGATTTCTTTGGAGCCAATAGTAGGCCTGGTTCTGATACAGATCCTGTCAGTACTGAACCCAAAGGGAGGGTGCGAGCCCAGCAGTCCAGTTCTGACTTCTTAGAAGGGGTTTGATCTTTGCCTGGAACCACTAAAGTCTTCTCCCAAAGGGCAGCTTTCAGCCTGAAAGCCCGGTAAAAGCAAGCCTATGGAGTGAACTGCTTGCTAACAGAGCAGGCAGAAACGTTGTGGGCATAGGAGACAGCAGTCCTGGTCATGCAACAGAGCCATTTTTAGGCTGCATTTGACATATTTTTTTTAAAATACAGCCATAGCTCGAAAATAAAGACCTCCTTCTTATACCCCTTTGTAGGAATGGAGCAATGTGAAGAGATGAAGAAAAGAATGAAGAAAAGGAACAAATCATTGGAGAAAAAGCCTGCAAGGTGAAAGAGAACAAAGCTATCAGATTTCCATAGTAGCAAAGAAAGGACTGAGAGAAGGAGCGCTCGCCCCACCCCATCATGTATTGACTGGATGAGAAGGAGCCGGCCCATGTGGGGAGGGGGCTGAGGGCTCTGAATGTTGTAGAGAGCTTCAGAAAAGTGATCTCTATGGCAGGCCTATGCAAGCATGGTCCCATGTGTGCCTGTACAGAAGCCACAAAGGTGAACCAATGGACAGCACAATTAAAACACATTAATATTGTGTTTATCTACAGAATTATTAAACAAGAGCAAAATTAATACCTGCTTCCTCATTACAAGCTCAGCAAAGATTCAGTCATTTGAACTTTTAATATTAGTATGTATTTAGCACATCTAATTCAGAGAGTTTATCTAAATATGTTGATGTGAAGCCTGCATTATCATGATACAGCTGAGTGATATGACATTTCAAAAATAAAATGGAAATTTTTCTGTCATGTCTAATGAACCACTTAGCCATGGAATTAGACGAGGACATGTTATCACATCACATTTTTATCCCTCCTGTTCTTCTATTTTATTTTTACAACAGCCCAGGAAGGTAGGTTAGGTTGAGAAAAAGTGATTGTCCCAAAGTCACCGAATAAGTTCCATGGCAAATGGAGATTTGAACCTGAGCCTCCTTAGTTCTAGTCCAGAACACTAATCATTTTGCCACACTGATGTTGCAAATTTGTACCAGGACCAGGGACTGCCTCGATCCTGATTTAATGGATCCTGATTTAAAATTCTGTGGTCCCATCTCATCTATGCAACATTAAATGTGTAAATGTGTAAAGCTGTTGAAACTGTTTAACATTATGACAAATATTTTAAAAGTGAGGCCAGCTTATAGCACAGTAGAGACAGACAGGGCTGATGAGTGGTGGGGGCGACAAAATTCCATGGCTCATGTGCATTGGGTTGTCAGAATTTCCATCTTTCACTAAAATCTCTAGCTCTTTCTCTCTGCAACAGAAAGGACTAAATTTTATTTTAAAATGAAACCTGGAAATTCAGAAAACACATATTTGTTATAACATTATACTAGGGTTGCCAAGTTCAACTTACTAATATAGTGGGGGGAGTCCCGTTCCTCCCCGGGAGTCTTCTGGCACGCGTGCAAAGCGCGTGCACCGCAATGACACTACCCGGAAGTGATGTCATTGCGTCGGGCATGTTGGGGGTGGGGCTACAATTATTCGAGGGAAAACCATAGAGTTTTCCCTCGAATGATAGAGTGTCCCCCAGTAACGTGTCCAATGTGATGATGTCACCTCTGGGTAGTGTCTTCACGCCGCGCATGTCGCACACTTTGGGGGTGGGGTTCCCCCCAGTGGCCCGATCCGGGCCAGCAGGGAACGGGCCTCTGGAGCAGGGGTTTCCCCACCCCCCAGGGGGACCTGGCAACCCTACATTATACCGATATAACAATATTCTACTGCCAGTTAAAAAAAATGTAATGCCTCCTATGGCAAAGTGAAAAAGTAATTGCAGAGGGGGGCAATCTCAAGGAAAATGGCTGCCATGTAGGTGGGGGAAATCTGAATTTTCCCAACCATACAGCAACCATCCCAAAACTTCAGAGCAAAGCAGGTTTGAGAGATCAGAGAAGAGCCAGAGAAGCCCTGGAAGGTACACATATGTACCATGAAAAAACCCTGCTTCCCAACAGCATTGAAGCCAAGGCAGATAAATCATATGGAAGTCATCAGAGGCTGATGCAAACTACAGTAAGTCTTGCCTACCATGGGGCACTACTAAGCCCATCAACCGAGCTATCACTGGGCCAAGGCAACACCCACACAAACATACCTTTATTTTCAAGTTTTGATCGCATTCTCCCTCATCCTTATCCTGGCCGGGAAGTTAAAACATACTTAATAGTACACCAGAAAGCTTATGATATTATGAACTATCAAGTTCATAGTTTCCAATGATCTATCAAAATAGTGATAGTGTGATTTTTCCCTCCATTCTTTACATGTATAGCGCAAATGCCTAATGAAAGGTTTTGATTTGATTTACATCTGTATTCATCTATATTAGTGGTTAAAAATGTGGAATAGTGAACACCATTCTGGATTAAACAACACCAACAACCAATACAGTAGCTTAAGTATGTGGCTATAATTTCTGTCCGTGGTTTCTAACAGATCCTGTTTTAGATTTAGTTAAAGTTGCAAATGCAACTTTGCTAGTGCAAGCATGTTATATTACAAATGACTTCATCTTTTTTAAAAAGTCAGTAAAATCAATCCCACTGATCATAAATGAAGTAAAAACTATTCTTTAATAATCTTGTCCCTTTTCCTCTCCTAAGGAACAATTATTATTCTGTTCATGTTATCAGGAAAGTAAGTGATTTGTTTTGTTATGATACCTGGTTTGCATCGGGGTCATACAGGGAGGCCCAGATGAAATCTTTGTCTGGGGGTCCATGGTGGCTCTTGGCTGCTCCAGGGACAGTTTTTCTTTTTTTTTAAACTTCCTCTCTCAATGCTACATGGAAGTGTTTAGGAGTAACGTGGAACTATGTGGAAAACTAATGGCACCTCCCCTCTCCCCATTCTCATATACTTCAAGCTTTTAATGCCTTTGTTTTCTTTGAATCCAGTGGTGGGAAGATAATTATTCTGGTGGTCAAATGCCTCCAACTGCAATTATTCTCCCCACCCAGACATTATGAAGGGAGACAAGGTTATGAGGGGACAAAGTACTTAAGTGTGTGTGTCATCCTGGACTAAGGGACAAGGTAGGATTTGGATTGGATGCTGTCAGGCTTACATCTCCAACCCCAAACCCCAGACTCCCACATTTTAGGATATAATTAACTCAGTCCAGTCAACTTCATCAACACTGATGGTTTTTTATTACTATTATTATTTTTATTCGAATTCACCTGTACTAAATTCACAAACCAATCAAGACTGGAAGACCAATACCAGAACCTACAGTAACTGGTTTTGGGAGAATACCCGAAATGGACAGATTTGCAGTGAGAGCAAAAGTGGCACCATTTAATAATATTTTCTCTATTTCCAATAGACCAACAACTGAAAAGTGCCATCTCATCAAATCAGGTAAGAATTCAGTTTTTTCTGAAAGAGAGACACAACTGCTCCATTAGACCAAATTCTGTAAAACACCTTCACTGACAAAAATTACTAGCATTATTTGTATCATGTATAGAGTTACAAATTTGAATTGTAACCCACTTTGGCAGCCAATACGGCTCAAAAGCAGGGTATAATAAAAAACCTTTTCCTGTATGACGGGTTAATCTGCTACACAGAACTTCCACCATTTATTTTTGGGTACCACATTTTGCAACCCTATTAACTGACACAGCACCACCCACCTTATTTTTAGAAAGAATACTTTTAATCTAGTTGTATAACACTGTATTGCCTTTCATTCTAGTAAGTGAAATCTCTGAAGTGTGCATATCTTTTGGGTGAAGGCTGTATGAAAGACAAGGTGTGAAAGTACATTTTTATTTACTGCAAGCAACCACAACAGAAATAAAGAATAGCATCATGGCTCTTACCCAGCTCTTGTAGTTTTATATTCCACTTTAAGAATAGGTTTACAAGGCTCTGGCTTCTTTCCATCTTTCACCTGCTTCCCTAAAACAAAATATTTTCTTATTTACATTTAAACATAATTTTTTAAAATCTTGGACACCACATCAAAATCTTAGGAATAGTCCCATCAGTCACAAAACCTATGTATTACAAACTGTAATATCTTGCTGCTTTAAACAGAATTAAAAACAAGTAATTCACCAATACTGATTACAAACGGTTGTTTCTTTTCTGAAATAGAAGCAATCCTATGCACTTTTAGCTGTAGGTACTAGATGGAATTTATTTCCAAGTAAATATAAATAGGAACAAAGTGAGAAACTATAAAGAATACCCAATAAACTTTCCAATAATGGAATTAGGAAGAGGAGCTTGTTAATTAGGTACCCTATCCAGAGACCCTATTTAATTAGGTACCCTATTTCATTTGGGTCTCTTCACTTGATTCTCCTCCTCACTGTAGCCCCCTAACCCCATATTTTGTCCACAAGAGTCTTTCAGGCCTCAGTAATGCCTTTACAGGGGTCTGAGGGAGCAGCTGGGTAAAGAAGAGATAATACTGGCTTCTGCCACAGAACATCTGTACATTTCTTCAGGCTTCCATTTGGCAAAGAAAGTAAATATGATAAAGTTTCCATTCGTACAAAATTCATCTCTATAGTACAAATGCACAAAATTAACTGAACAGCGGAATTACCATTTACAATTATTTCATTTGCATCAATAGTAAAAGTCTTTTCACAATCGACAATCTAATTATGGTATGGAGTTTGCTTTGAATTTCTAAAAAGCTAGAGACAACTTTGGCAATACAAAAACACAAGGCAAGTCAAGCAAAATCTAACTGCTCTATTTTTACATCAATGCACAAATTCTATTAAGATGTCTCTAGAGAAGCCTTTTTGTGGATGTAGGGAAACAGCATCGTAAGCTTCTCTTCACACTTTTAATGATGGGCACCTATGGCAGAAGGTACAGGAAAAAGTGATTTCATCCCCACTTCAGCCTCCCAACCAGGTGTGGCTATTTCTCCACATGATCCAGGAACTCTGAGGCTGGAAATGGCTGCTTGAGGGAGGAGAAAGCCAGAAAGATCAGGGATCCTTTCACAGACCTTACATTGGACACAACTAATCTTGAACTGAAAGAACCAGGAAAACTGCAATAGCTGTTGGAGAACTCTGTTGGATAACCTTGAGACAGTCATGCACACTCAGCCTAACCTACCTCACAGGGTGGTTGTGAGCATAAAATGGAGGAGAGCAGAATTATGTAAGCTGCTTTGGGTCCTCACTGGGGGAAAAGGTGAGGTATGAATAATAAATAAACAACCTTAAGATTCTAATATTATTTGTAAATAATTGTGAGGACTCTGAAACTACCACAGCCCTCCCTGTGAAGCCCTAGGTTCCATTATTTCAGGCAACAGTGGCAACATGGAGACAGGGTCATCTGAAACTCTCCCCTTCTCCTTCTCCATGGGCAGCAACAGCTGGGAGGTAGAAACGCAGTACTCACTTCCTCCTGGCACCCTGGATGGAGTTATTATTATATTCCTTTAGCCAATTAGGATGGGAAAAGGCCTTTTATTAATACCCATGGCACTGAAATCATACTTATGATGAAATGTTCTATAGGAGTTTATGTTCTTAAGCAGTTGCATGAAGGCTGGTGATTTTGAGGAATGCAGCTAATGGGGGGAAAGGAATACGTAAATATTACTTGGAGGTAGGTTGTGTGATTTCAAAATGGATGTGCATCATATTTTATATCTTCTATATGTTATGCTTACAAATTGGTTTGCACTTACCATGCGGAGTGATTGTCTGCAATGGCTTGGTAGGATTCCTTACATTCCATATAGTCAAAGTGCCATCTGAATGGCTACAAATAAATTGCTTTCCTTCATGGTGCCAAGCTACAGAATGGATTGCCTGTACATGGAAAAAATTACAATGTATTCATAGTATTAACAGAAACAATTAAAAACAATTTTAAAAGTCAATAGAAACTGCAGTCTGAGGAGCTGGAGCTAATATTTGGTCAGTTAAAAGTTAGGAGTGAAATGAAACAGTTGTTCAAGGATTAGTTTAGCAGAAGTATTATATGTTTGAATCTGCAATAATGTTTCATTTAGCAGTTGGTTACACCCAGTCTGCTGCTCCTTTGCATCTACTAGTTTTACTTAATATGTTTACTTGATACCAAATTGCTTACCTATGAACTCTGCCTTGTTTGAGAACCTTATTGAGTTAGTTATAAGACTAACACCATGTACGTTACAAGCACTATAGATCAAAAGTCAGTACAAAGATATCATCCGTTCTGGATAACTGAAAGTAAAATGGGATTACAATATTTCAGCATGGTTTGCTGGGTCTAGTGTGCAATTAAATTGCAAGAGTATGTTGTTTTTATATATAAAAAAGCTGTCCATGAAAGTTTTTTCCCCACTGTGTGCAGTTTAAAATCAGAAATCCAACATTTCATAGTTGATTATTAATATTTAAATCAGTTTGGTTTTTTTCCAAATAAACATTCGCGTTCTTTTGAAAAGTCTTACACCTGTGAATCTACCTGTCAGTTATCAAACCTGGCTTGTGATAATTATAAGAGGCCCAGATTCAGTACCTGAACCTTTGAAATTCCCACCGGAGAATTCCCAGTGCACTTGGGTAGGCAGAAATCCTTTAGAGTGGTGTCTCTTCCCCAGGAAATCACCACATATTACTAGTTAAATTTAACATAATTAGTTATGAATGTGGAGTCTAAAGAGAAATAGCTTGACTTACACACAATAGTTAAACCTATATCACATATGGGGTATATTTCTACCCCAAACCAAATTCTAATGTATCGTGGTAGAAACATTCTACAAAAACAAAACTATTTGTGGTGGTAGATATCATGTGCTTCATAGTACTAAAACATCCAAAGCTTGAAAACATTTTTCAACATGAGGCAGAATGGTTTTTCTCCACAGAATCACCTCTCGCCTTCTGCATGTGACTTAAACAAAACAATATACTTTTAAAAAAATAAAACAAAAACAACACTTGGAATCTAAGACATCAGATTATTGACAAGCTTTCATAAATTAAAGAAAGCATATAAAATAATAATAACATTAAAATTAATAAATAATACAATAATATAATATCTACACAGATTTCTCAATATCTTCTACCCCAAGGTGCTTTATTGTATACAAAAAGTAAACTGTAAACATTAACTGGCTGTACTTTGGGGACACCAATATATCCTGTCCCCAACATAGCCCCATCTGTGGATACTAAAACCCAGAGCTTGGAGCCATGAACAGACAAGAGAGGTCTTTCGACAAACCTGAGAAAAGCCCCAGATTTGCAGAAAAATGTGAAACCTAAAAAGAAATACATCAGAGGTTAGGCTCCTCAAGACCATACCCAGCAGCTGCTATGCAATTTGCAAAACTCATCCAGGTGCAGTGGTGGCTATGACTTGATGCCACACAATTCACCCAGACCCAGCGGCAGACTCTATTCAAACTGTGTGACTTGGCTGGGCCTGGCAGTGGCCACTGGCCACCACACAAAAGCACCTTGCTACTGCTTCCCCTCTGCTACTTCAGTCAGATTTTTTTCCCAGGGAGAGGCTGCCAGGGGGAGAGAAGGAGGAAAGCTGAGAGCTAGTGTGGTGTAGTGGTTATAGTGTCAGATTAGAATCTGAGAGATCCTGGTTCAGATCCCCACTGTACCATGGAAGTTTACTGAGTCACCTTAGGCCAGTCAGTCACTCTCAGCCTAATCTACCTGCCTCACAGGGTTGTTGTGAGGATAAAATGGAGCAGAGAATGATGTAAGCTTATTGGGGTCCCCATTGGGGAGAAAGGTGGGTATAAATGAAGTGTAAAAAAGAAGCTGAAGACTAGGAGAGGCAGATAAAAGAAAGGTTGGCTGGTAAATGGGGAGGAGAGAAGGAAGCAGCAAAAAGCAAAAGGATACAGGGGCTGCCAGGATGAAAAAAGGAAATAGCATGGGGAACAGGATACAGGGGAAATGAAGTGACCCCCACAAATTCTTGTGGGTTCCCCATTTGTTGTTTACTACACATGACAATGCTTTAAGTGGACAAAGTTGTACAGCCATTCCTGTAGGCATTCTGCCCCCCAAAACACACAACCTGGGTAGCTAGTTTGAAGTTATTTAAAGCTCTTAAATATAACTTAAGTGTAATTGTTTGAAACCATTTTCATATAACAAATGCAAGCCCATAGTACAGCTGTGATAGTCAGGGAAAACAAAATTATTTACAGCTCCTTTTTCTTTTTTTTAAATATGGAACACTAATGTCTTAGTTTAAATCTTGCTCCTATATCAACTTATGCATGGGCTTATTTACCTACAGTGTTGATAAAAGATTCATATAACCAGGGGTCATGTTGTAGAAAAAGAGCTGCCGGAGCTCATTAGCATAACTCATTAGCATAACTTATTTGCATATGCCACGCCCCCTGACATCACCGGAAGTGACAGAAGGCCACACCCCCTGACATCACCGGAAGTGTGTCAGAAGGCCCGGCTACTTACCCTCCTGCTTCATCCTCATTCCCAAACGGAATGAGGATCGAAGCAGAGGGCGGGGTAAAGAAGGGGGCGGGGCTTCACCACGTGACCGCCCCGCCCCCTAGAGGTTCTCTTCTGGAGCTCCGTACCTGAGAGCTCCCCCCCGACTAGAGCCCTGCATATAACTGTTATAATGTAATGGTTTGGGATGCTATTTTACTCTTCCAGTATACTTCATTCTAAGATTCTCCTAGCCTGTAAAATAAAGTTTACAATTCTGCTATCATAAACGTAATGTGCAGATAGCTTTCCAGTTCTTTCTGGCATCATTTATATCTGAAGTTTGACATGCAAATTACAACTTAGTTATATAATCATTTGTCAAGTTCCTAGTTGATATTTTTAAAAAGCTTTACTAGAGCAAAAGACATTTATAAGGAAAACAAAAAATATCTTGCAGCTTAGCAGTTAAAATTTACAAATGTGGTAGAGAATGGAGTAGAATGATTCTTGATGACTAGGGATTTTGAGACAAACATATTCCACAGCCAAACATACTGTGTTCAGCTGTTCCAAACAGAGTTGTGAGGTGACCACCAAATCTGTTCAGCTCCTGAACAAACTTGTCTAGCTGTTGAACAGAAACAGCTCCCCAAATTTCTTCCCAGTTCCCCAACTTTCAGGGACCTAGCAAGAAGTTGTGAGGCGGACATGAAAAATCAACTCTCATGTGAGCTTCTCCATCTGTTTTCTACTTCGTAACCCAAGGTTCTCTCTCTATTCCAGCAAGGCAGGAACTGACAGGGGAAAGTTTGAAGAGGGGAGAGATCAGCTTCTTTTCCCCTCTGCACTAAACATTCTTCTTCTGCCCTCTGCTGCTCAAGCTGTTTTAGGGGCAGGGGCAAATCTCTCTTACCATGAATTGCAAAGTTTGAGAACAAAGTCTGAGTCTTGTGGCAACTTTAAGACCTTTTCAGATCTGAAGAAGTGTGTATGCACACAAAAACCTATACACAGAATAAAACTTTGGTGGTCTCAAAGGTGCCACAGGACTCAAACTTTGTTCTACTGCTTCAGATCAACACAGCTACCCCCCTGAATCGATCTGCAAAGTATGGAGACATACGGCTGCCATTCTCTGCAGCTCACACATCTGTTTTGGGTGGAGATGAAAGAACCATTTTCCCCCTCTCCACTCCACTGGCAAAATGAGCTGACAGCCTGAGCCACAAGGAGAACAGGAGTAATGAACTTCTATTCTCTTTAGCCCAAGCTGACAACTGGAGGGAGGGGGGAATGGAGGTGAAGAAATGTTCCCCTTCTTCTGTCCTCATACAACAAACTTAAAGCTCAGGCTTCAGAGAAGTTGATCACTCCAAACTCAAACTGTCAGTTGTGGGGGAGTGAATATCTAGTCCTGTTCTCAACTCACCCTCTTGGGGGGAGGGAGCAGATTGCTTCTCTCTCCACTTCACCAAGCTCTCAGCTAGAGCTGCAGAGGATAGGAGCAGATCACACCTCTTTTCCTCAGCCCAGGAGCTGTCAGTTTCAGGTGAAGAAAAAAAAAAACCTTCTGTCCTTCTCATCCAAATCCTACAGCTCCAGCTGCAGCTCAAGGTGACAATTTGGGATCAGGAGGGAAAAAAAGGGCAATCATTAGAGCTTCGGATACCCTCCCCACAAATTTGCTTTGCAGAGATGCAGCCAATATAGCAGCCTGCTTCCAACTGATCTCAGCAATCTGCTGACAGTCACATCAACTGAAAGTCAGTTATAAGGATACCTTTCTCCACCACCAACTAGCACCTTCCCTACCACACACACACAGGGAAAGCATATCAGTCAGTATTCCCTAAACACAAACTTAATTTGTTTTCAAAATATTAATTTCTGTGCTAGTCTTATACAATCTGCTCTCTATTTATAAAATGTAAACACTGCCTATCCAAATTCCTGCTGAAGCATAAGCAGGGGTCATTTCGTAGAAAAAGAGCTAGGGGGACTCATTAGCATAACTCATTAGCATATGCCACACCCCCTGACATCACCGGAAGTGTGTCCTCCCCACAGCCGGCGGCGACCTCCAGCGGGCACCAGCAGGGAGCTCCAGGCCCCGCCCTCCCGCACCTCACCCGGGGGGATGGCGTCCCCCGCGTCCCCCCCAAATGACCCCTGAGCATAAGTAATAACAATGTGCTCTTTCCCATGGTGATAACCACACCCACACAATGGGGCCAGTCTCAATGTCAATGTAGGGTTCTGTAAATGCAAGAAAATCCCCTGGTTTGCTAAAAATTCTGACTTTCAGACTAATTATAGGATGAATCCCCCAAACCTTTACCAGTGACACCTGCATGGACACAGACATTCAGAAAGCAAACTGTTAGAAT